AGATGTTTACTGAACAAAACCACTTTGTACATACAGTACAAGAAATAAATCAATAAACACATTGTTTTTATACCATGTGTTGCAAAAAGAGAATACATCTCTCGAGGCAATTTATTTTTGCCAAAGCTTCCAATGAACACAACATCGCAATACCGCACAATGCATTTGTTCTAAATTCTGTAGAAATGATTTTATTTCAATGAAATAACACAATAGTAGCACAAAATAGCGCTCATGCAAAACATACAGAAATACATTTGCTAAAGATGGAAAGCAAATTAACGAGCTACAGCATTTCTGGATACCCACTAGTGATGTGGTCTGTTTTTGGTATTAGAAGCTGCACTGAAAGTGTCCATTTGGTCTTGCTGTATCATGAAACATTTTAGTTTTATGATTTGAAAGATGCTTGTGTTTTTCTTGCAGGCAGAGAAAAAGGGGGCAAGTCAGACTGTAATTGGGCTGATATTTGGATGTTATGCCTTTTTCAATTTGTTGGGATCTTTAATACTGGGGAGATATGTAAGTTACATTCTGTCTGCAGACTGTTAGCAGTTATTAATCTTTCTGCTCTATCAATTTTGTGATGTCTGCAATAAGTCTAAAATGGTTGTATATATCTATTTTCAGATTGTTCAGATTGGAGCAAAATTTATGCTCGTTTCTGGCCTTTTTGTGTCAGGTGTATGTACAATTCTTTTTGGGTAAGTCTGTCCTTTTGTCATTTTACTGCTTTTGATCAGGATTCAGAACCCCTTTTCTTAAGATTTTGTGTTCTTTTTACCTCAGTCATATTTGCTTTGCTATATATAGAGACATTTGTCCTTTAATTTTCAATGTGCACAAGGTTATACAGTATGTGTAGTTTTGATAATATTAATTAATACATTGTTTAGTGTAATTGCTTTTTTAAATTCTTATTGAAGTATTGATAATAGTTAAATGTCAATAAAAATAATTCCATACATGATGCTTCAGATTCTGAGGACTTATACTGTAAACTAGTAAATGGCTCTGAAATGTGGAATCTGATGATTATTTAAAGGAACTTGGCATGATAAAGTGCTTCAGTGTTTATAGACATATACCATTATCAGAAAAATGGAGACACTGTTGTTTTTGTGGGAATTAAAGGTATGCATTTAACCCCTGTTTTTAATGGCTGTAATTTCTAAACAAAATTAGCAAAGTCTTGTGACTGACTGTTGTGCTCTGTACAATTCCAGCTTGCTCGACAAAGTGGCGGGAAAAACAGATTTCATAGTGCTGTGCTTTCTCATACGGTCTATAGATGCTATAGGCTTTGCTGCTGCTATGACATCTTCCTTTGCAATTATCGCAAAAGCCTTTCCTAACAATATAGCCACTGTTTTGGTGAGTAGACTTGCTGAGTGTCATGGAGATGTTGGTGCGATGATATTCTTTTTACTTATTTAATGTGCCATGCTTTCATGTAAAATGTGTACTGTATATATTACATAACCTTAATTTACTTAAATTGGAATTACAGATGTACTGTATTATTTTCATACACCAGCACCCTCAACGCACACACATATGGGATGCCTGAGGGGTAAAGTGCTCAGCTCAGCGCTGTCAGGGTTCTGAAAGGTGGGCTGCTGTGCCATAACCCAAGGCCATCACAAGCACTTGCACATCGCTGTTTGGGGGAATCGCAGCCACAGCGGAAATCCAAAATTATTTATAGATTCTTAGGACCCTGTGCTCTGAATTAGTGTCTGTTAGTGGTTGCCCTGTTACTGGGCTTTTTCTCTTGTGAATTCTGTTACTACGTTGTTTCTTTACATTTCTTTATGTGTTTTAGGGGAACTCACTGGCACAACTTTATATCTTATTTCAACTAAGATATACTGTTTATAGCTTAAACACAACATAAAATAATAAACTGCTAATGACCATTGCTCCAGTTTGGTATTGAGACATTAACTAATGATTTTTGGGTTGACAGACTTTTGTTGGCACGATATATCTCACGGACATTAGAGAACGGGTGCTTACTTGCTGAGACTTTTGTGACCTGACGCAGATGCCTGCAGTGTCATTGATGAAACGAATAAGAATGTAAGGGAAGTGTTCACACTTCGAAATAAACATGAAATACAGTAGGGTCTCGACGTGTGTGAGGATTCGGTGCAATGAACCGTCACAAAAAGCCAAATTAATCAACGGTCCACCCCTATACATAATGCGTAATGTACTATACTACAGTTTATAGTATCTATGGTTAAAAAACATACAGTGGGTAACCCTCCCTTATGTGACAATTTAAAGTACTAATGTTTTGGCTTCAAGTTCAATACCACCGATCAACTAAAAGAAAAAACAGTAAACACAAACTTATAGTGATTAGCTAAAATAACAACGTGAATCCCTCCTGCCGGCATTTCTCTCTCTGCCTTTGTGACACCCTGCTGCAATGAACAGGGCAATCAAACTGTCAGAGACCTGTAAAGATGTCTCCAGACTGTTACTCCCCCATTGTGGACATAGAACCTGGAGTGTCTAAGACAATATGAAAACAAGACTTCATTGAGATGTGGATGCTGGGTAGGTGGTACTTGGCCAGGCGGCTGGGAGAGAATTACTAGCTAGATTTGTCTCATGATCCTAGTCAGTTGTGCCGCTAATTTGAAAGTTGTGGATAACGACCTTCAGTGCAGTTTCATCCTGCTCTGCTCTTCTTCCATACAAGACCCCGTTGGCCAGACTGAATCACGAATAACTGAATTTGCTAATGCTGAATTCTCAGAAGTCAAGACCCTACGGTATTTGTAAATATAGTATACAGGAGCAGTATGTTAGATAATTAGGGTAATATTGTACTTATTATCTAGCTACATTAAGAGGCATTATAAATACCACAAACAGTTGTTTCCAGTATTTCATCAAAAGCATATATTCCTTTTCACAAATTATCAGTAAATATTGTTTCATTCATTTCACATCTCAGCAATTACTTGGCCAAATGTGAAAAATTAGTCATGGCTGCTTGCATATTTCTCACTCACCATATAGTTTTCTAGACTTGCAAATGTAGTAAAGGTTGAGGTGATCTTCACATTACTGTGCCTGTGAGCTTGGGTACAAAAAGCTAAGGAAATGTGCAGTATTCTTGTTTGAACCAAATTACCATGACTCCTACAAGGCACTGTAGATGGAAAGGGGCCATTGAGTTGCTGAAGCAGGCATGTCAACATCCAGTGTTGCCAGACAACAGTCACGTATCTGTGCAGCACGTGACAATATCTTGTCTACTATTCTAGTACATTCAGGAGGCTCCAGCTCAGTACTCACTCAACAATAGAAGAAAACAAGCTTTTTAATTAGTTCACTAAAATAATGGAACACAGTCATATTTAACCTCCTTTGATGTGATAATGTTTGAACATTAATGTGTCATAGGTGCACCAGAATTATGTAGTCCACTTTGTTGCCTAAGAACAAATTGTTTTCCAATTTGTGCTTGTTTTAGTAAAATCTGACACTAAATTTATTTGTTTAAGGAAAATAAATATTGTATGGCTTAAATGCATCCATTCATTTTCTAACTGCTTCATCCAATTTTGGGTTGTGGGAGAGCCAGAGCCTAACCCGGCAAGGACTGGACAGGATGCCAGTCCATCACAGGACAGACACACTCACATCAGGACCAGTTTTCCTAGAAGCCAGTTAACCTACCCATGTGTTTTCAGACTGTGCGAGGAAACTGGAGTGCCAATCAAAAAGCCCAATCAAACATAGGGAGGACATATTGTTGAATCGGAAACTTGACTCTGGTTCCATCAGGGAAAGGAGTCTTTATTGCGTACACAAGAAGTAGACACTTAGCGAGATAGCAAAGTGGAGCTCAAACTACAGCTGATCTTCTCAGCACATATATATATACAGTATATATTATAATGAGCAGGTTACAAAGTTCTCATCGTTAGGGTTGCTAAGCAGCAGAGCTTGATCCGTGAGAGTACAAGTACCGATATAAGACAAGAGTGCAGGTGTCACGCACTTGGGAACTAGGCAGAATGCCCAGGACTTCAAGGCCACAGGATTTACTGAACTAGAAACGTAGACTTAACTTGATAAAAACTTTTAAACTCTTTATTACTTATGAACATGCTGATAGCGCCCAAGGTCCAGTATTGAACCTAGGGCCCCAGCGCTGTGAGGCAGCCTGCCTGACAGCTAGTTAGTACCTGCCTGACTAAATAGTTTTGCTAAAAATGATTACATATTTTTAAATGCAGGATGCTCAAAACATATTCATACCATAGAAGCAGGTATTTTGTAAATTCCTCCTTTGACATAATTAACCTGTGAAAGTGCTTCCTTTAATCCAGCAGTACTCTTTTAAACTACGCATGAGGGATATTTGACCACTACTCTACCAGAACCCAGGTTGTCTGTCTTGCACCTGTGATCTCCATTCTTTAGCTCTTAACATAGAGCTCCTACTTAGACTGTGATTTTGCCAGTACAAGACACAAAGATCAAAGTTATAATTTAGTTCATTCTTTGAACAATTCTCTTTGGGGACGGGGGACAATGTACTTTTCTCCATGCTGATGTGGCCCTGATTGTTTTCCTTCTGTGTTTGGCCTCCATTAATATCCAGTGGCAATTAAAGTTGACTTTGAGACCCTTCCTTAAATTGACTGAGGTCTTATGAAATGTCTATATGACTAAAAAATGTCATATGATATAGGAATATCTTTTCAAGATAAACTTTTCTGGGAAATATCTAAATATGGATACTTTTATCATTTAATCATTTTAATAATAAATACTACTAAGATATTAGTGTTTACATAAAACTGTTCCTGTGTTACAGAAGTGTGAATACATTTTGTCACTAAATTCAGTCTAAATTAAGTGCATGCACTTAATCTTAAAATACTCTAAATAATATATATTTTACTGAAATAATTTACACATCTATTTGTTTGGTTTTTGACCTAATGTATTTATGAAGGCCATGAATAAAGTTGGGTGGAGGAGTGCTTAGCATATTTGCTTTCTAGTGCTGGGGCTCTGGGTTCAATTACAGACCTACAGTACATTGGCAAATTTTTGCAGAAGCCAGTTTAACCTGCCAGTATGTTTTTGGACTGTGGGAGGAAACCAAAGCAGCCACACAAGTGCAGGGAGAACATGCAAACTCCACACCCAGGGCACTCCAGGAATAGAAGTGCCTCAGTGTTACAAGGCAGCAATGCTAACCACTGCGCCAGCATACCACCTTTTATATTTTATATTTCCTTAGTTATTCATTCATATTGCTTTGGCTTTGTTACTTTACTTTCTAATTATGTCAATTTTTATTGTCCTAGAAAGCTCTAATCAGTGAGCAATCCATCCCAGCTTGATAAAGACATTGTGGGGGGAGTTTTTCTTGCTCTTGTCAGATGTCCTAATAAGATAATGATAGCCAGCAAAATGTTCCCAACTCATGTCATGTACTTCTCAATTTTTAAGGCGAAAAAAAGTTGAATTTGCCAAAGAAAAATTCCACAGTACTCGAAAACATTACTAAAATATGAAATAATGGTTCTGATTGTTATTTTGATTTTGTTTTGTAAGCCACTGTACTCTCTCATGCCCTTGTTTTAATTATCGTTATCACCAAGGTTTAAAAATGATGTCTGAAAAGCTTTTAATATGAGATAGTTGAGGATTAGCATTGAGGATTAGCATTATTAATGTACAGTAAGAATTTTTGATGCATAAGAGTTATTCAGAATTACCCATCCATGTATGCCGCTTCACTGTTACAAAGAGAAATCATATTTGTACAAAATGTGTGTTTTCATACAGCATGCTCTGATGTAATGAACTGTGAAAGTTAAAACATTATACAGTGTTTTTTTTTTTTGCTTTTCAGGGTAGTTTGGAAATTTTTACTGGGCTAGGCCTGGTGCTGGGACCTCCCATCGGTGGATTTTTGTATCAGTCATTCGGCTACAAGATTCCTTTTATCGGTGTGGGGGGTATTCTCCTAGTGATGGTGCCATTTAACATGTGTGTTTTACCAAACTATGGTAGGTCTTTTGCTTGATTGAGTCCTGTCAGAGACAAAGAAGTCAGTTCCTGAAATATGCAACCAGACAATTTTGCTTTAAAATTCCATATGCAATATTTTAAATATTGAATCAGGTCCAGGACGTCTGCTGGTGCATGCCCTGCCCCAGACTCTGGTTGCATTTGATTCAAAATGTATAAGGCTCTTGTGTTGTTTATTTTTAAACTGCTTTCCTCTGCTTAAGCTCTAATTGGCAACCAATGATAGCTTTGATTCCAAAGTAGTGAAAAGTATTCATTTTCCTCTAGGTGCAATTTGTACTTGTTATTAAGTATCATGATTCTGAAAATTGTGGTTGTGATAGCTGCTCACTTTATCTCTGTTACTTCAAGAAGGATATTTAATCAAATGTTCTTGTTTTAATTGCTGGCAAAAATAAACAACAACCATAACATCATCCACTGTAGGCTATGTTGCGATACTGCAGATCTGAAATTAGTTAAATAGGCTCTAGGATTAGAGATCTGCCTCTCCTGCAAATGATGCATGAGGGAATTGCTTAACAGTTCTGATGATAAATGAAAAGCAGCTGGCCTTGTTAGTGATTAGCAGAGTTTTAGTGTTTTAAGCTTGGAAAACAAGTTAGCTTATGGTAACTATAATGAGATGCCATGATTAAAAGTAAGTACAGAAAAAGAAGAGCTCTAATTATTATACAAGAGGCAAACAAAAAGCTTTGCAGCTCAGGTATATAGAAATAAATAAGCATTTATTTCTTGGTGGAATTGATGGCATCTTCATGTTGATGAATTGTACTGTGTAGCACACACTAAAAAACTTCACAGTAAAATAATGGAGGCTGGGTTTGGGATGGTGGATGGATGCTTCAGCTGTTTAATCCAACACTGGTAAATGCTAGACTGTATACCCTGGCCTTACATACCAGTAGTTCAGGTGGGTAGCTGCGTCAGCATGCGTAGGCTGCAAAGGAACAAGTAATAGGTTTATTCCATGCTGAAAAAAAGAAGAAAGAGAACCAACGTTTTGGCCGTGGAGCCTTCTTCAGGTCTTCACACCTGAAGAAGGCTCCACGGCCGAAACGTTGTGTTCTCTTTCTTCTTTTTTTCAGCATGGAATAAACCTATTACTTGTTCCCTTACATACCAGTGACTTGTTGTGCAACACCACAGATCAATTCCCTTTTCTGATTTTTTGCAGATGGCTTTTTAAATCTGGCCTATCAAGTCAACATATTAATGATTGTAGTCAATGAGCTGTACGCCTTTAAATTCCAGAAGATGCTAGCTGTATTCTTGTCAGCTGAGTCTGTGCATTGAATCAGTGATGATCTGAGCGTCACTGTGGTGAATTCATGGCACAGAGAACCAAACTCTGCTGGATCAGTGCAGAAGGGCTCCAGCCACCCTTGACTTAACTCTGCTCTGGTGATTTTATTAGTTTAATTTGGGGCTTCTCATGTGGCTGAACCATTTCACTGAACATGACTTTCATAGATAAAAGTCCTTAATGCTATTTCTGCAACTTGCCAGCTGACAATATCACACTTTCCTCAGCAGAGGTTGTTTCTGATCTGGTGGCATCCAAGGTTCATCCAGACCAGGATTCAAACACCTTCACCTATTTTGTCGAACTCCACAATTGGATATGTCCATGCATTTGCCTGAAGCTCATTCTTCCTTGCACAAACATTTCATGATACCATGTTGCTGAGGTTTTAATTTAATTTAATGACCCCATGATTCAAAGAACAAAAGACCTTAATTCATGCACGGAGATATGAAGATGAAATTAGTCATTAATTGTAATATGGTAGTCTATATGAGTTTCAAAGCTATTTGAATGCCCTTGTGTATACTAAAATGGAAAAGCAACTACAACTGCATGCATGCTATTAATAAAATTAAACTGTTTGGAATAGAAAGGACATGATAGGGTGAAGGACAGTTTGCTATTGTATTACCTGATCAGCTGATACACACTTGAGCAGCAATGCAAGAGGCAATCGTAAAAACTGACTTTTAAATCATTTCGATTACAAAGTGTAGAGAGAGTTATTCACTTGTTTTAGGAATAGAGTGGTTCAGAATCACTTTTTATGTTCCCTAAAAGGTTTATTTTAATTTTTAATAATAATAAAAATTGTAATAATATTTTATCAGTGCTTTCAGTAGTAACCCATCCTACTTTACCCAGAGATAATGATATTATCTCTGAAATTAGCTTTGTTATTCATTTCCAGATGCAAATCCCAGCAAAGACTCATTCTGGAGACTCTTCACTCATCCAAAAATTGTTTTAATCTGCTTCATACTCTTTTCTGTGAGTTCAGGTCTTGGTTTTTTGGATCCAACCATGTCTCTCTTTGTTTTGGAAAAGGTGAGTTGTGGTCCTGGAAAAAAAAAATTTGGGAAGTGCTGTGATCTAGAAAACATGAATTGTACATGCATTGTATCAGCTGAATAAGTATTTTTTACATGCATTTTTGTATACAAATTGTCATGAAGAACAGGGTAAAATGCAAGGTCTTTTTTCTTCATATTAACTTTCAACAAAAAAATTATATTACAAATGATTTCTGTTATAATATAATTATAATATAATTCTGTTATAGCACTGTAAAGTTAGCTATAATTGATGTTTCAAGTAATTTTTTTCCCATAAATCCATTTAGCATCAAATAACTTTTATACGGATTCTTTTTATAGGTTTTTGGATTTAAGTAGGAAAGACAGTTTTTTAATCATTAATAATAAAATAGGTCTTGGAGTCCTTCAAAACTATATGATTTTGATTAAACGAAATATTTTTTATCATATTACCAATATAGTTTATTTAATATAATCATTTTAAATTGTGGAATCGTGCTTCTGCATAATGTCTCTGTCTTTTTAGTTAGTCCTCTTTGCTACTTAGTAGTAGATAACCCCAGATTGTTTTTAAAAAAGCGTCAATATTTGAGTGGCTTTATTGTAATTCTGTTTTTTATCATATTTCCTCAGAAACGGGAGACAAGCTGTTATATGCCTTTCATTTAAAAGACAGTGTAGTAATTAAAAGCAAGTGTACATCTGTTGCTAAAATGCATCACTAAATCAACTCAGTTTTTTTAGTTGTCATAGTATGAACTTTGAATTCAAACTTTGTGTCTTCTGGTATATCCGTTCATTTCTTTGAAATGCACAGTGTCCTGCTGCTCCTGGGTGACTGCAGTAGAAGCCCGTTGGCTACTGCAGAAGACTTGGCATTTTACACAGGAATTACATAGCTCTCTCTTTCCACGCTGACTCCTGGCATGACTGCTTTATCATTTGAAAGCCCTCTCAACCCAACACTGCTTGGGGACTTCTGCTTACAGCTGAAGCAAACTGTCAGTATTAATTGTACATCATGTATGTTTTGGAAACTTCAAGTCTTTCAAAAATAAAAAAAAACATTTAACCTTCAAAAATCATACCTCACTTCATTAGAAGAGTACAGAGGATAAGGGTGAAGTTGAGCACACAAAAGTGTCCAGCAACCCTTCAGTAAACAAAACATTTAGTCACTACTGTATATCAGTTGCAGTTCTGTATCATTCTTAAATGCACTCTTCTCTTGCAGTTTAATCTACCTGCTGGTTATGTGGGACTTGTGTTCCTTGCCGAGGCACTGTCATATGCACTGTCATCACCACTACTGGGGGTTGTTAGTGATAAACTGCCTGTAAGTATGAAAAATGCTATTACTACTATTGAAGTGTCAACAATTGCACTTCAAAGCAACAAGTAGGAACCGAGGTGTTGTCTGAGCTGCAGGTGGCCTTAGGGACTATGAAACAAAGGGAATCTTTTGGTTAACCCTCATCAGCTCCAAGTTAAATCACAAAGGGTCTCCATCAGTCAGAAACACGGAATAGAAAGGAGTAGGCAGAAACGGAGAGAGACAGAGAAGGAAAAGCCAGAGAGAATAAGTGAATCAACCTTTAAAAACAGATTCTAGCCTAGTGTTGGAACCTTGTTCATGAGAGCTTGCAGTCCTCTTTTTCAGGAAACTGATTTGTTTTCAAAAGGAATCCCCAGGCTAAAGATGTTCTCTCCTTGTCAGTGATGCAGTTCTAGAACAGGGAGATGGATTCCAATTTACTTTGCAGCATTTACATTTTTAGGAAGGGAGGTGTAGCTCTAGGTTGTAGTCTGTTTTGTTAAGGATGTAGGCTTAACTTTCTTGTTGGTCTGTTTTGGCATTACTGTATAGTGGGTTTCAGAAATACTGGGTTAGCGGTGTGGGTTTTTCTGGGTGGTCAGGCCTCTGAAGCACCCTATCTGTAAAAAGGGTAACTTGTATGTTGTATGCTGTTTACTGTGTTGTTCAGTATTTGTTATGGTTAATATTTGTTTATCCTGGTTTGCCTCTGATTAAGTACTCTCCCACCAGAGCTTTGTCAGATAATGAACTTGGGTGCCTCTCACTTTACCAACCAGTCTGGTATATTTTGGCATATCTCTGAGAACTGAGGGTTGTAATTACTTAACTATTAATCCTGCTCTGTCAGTTTGTGTTTTCTTTACCCCTGTATTTGTAACAATACCTTGTCAATGGTGTGTTACGATAATATATTTATGATTAAAAAATAACTTTAGCTTTCTTTAAGTGAACAATTACATTTGGAAAATACCTTTTTAACTGTCATTAATTATGTCTCTGTTGCAGTTGGTAAGAAGATGGCTGATGGTCATGGGTGGCCTAGGAACAGCAATTGCCTTTTGTTTACTAGGTCCTGCTCCTATTCTGCACATCAAAAGGTTGGTTATGGTTGTTTTTCTCCACAATGTACTGTAGTTTTGCTGAGGTCTATTTTGGTTGGAATTTCTAATAGATGTTTTTTTTTTTATTTCAGTCAGCTGTGGTTATTTGTTCTGATGCTGAGCATTATTGGATTTTCCCTGGGAATGACTGGCATTCCAACATTCCCGGAGGTCCTTACATGTGCTTAGTAAGTGCTGGAATTCCTTGTCTTTACTTGTTGTAGACAAATTCCAGTGGTGGCTTGGCATGATTCATCTTCATTGAAGATGAAAGTTCTTTTTTCTAAATCCAGTAGTTTGTGCAGAGATGATGGAATATTTAACAGGCGGAAATCCTCAGCTAAAGAACTTTTATGCATACTGTAATTGGCTTAATTCATGACATTTGAAATGTGTACAAGATTGCTTCTAGACATTTTTTATGGGACAATAAAACCTACATTCTGTTCATAATTAGGAATAAAAAGTTATGCAAGGCAGATTTACTGTTGTTTATAAAACTAGATAAACATTGATCGGTTTAAGGAATTAGAATAGCTTAGCAGTATGTAAATTGTTTGTGCTTCTCTCTCAGTGAAAATGGATTTGAGGAAGGCCTCAGTACTTTAGGACTGGTGTCAGGAATGTTTGGAGCAGTGTGGTCTGCTGGGTAGGTAAAATTAATTTTATGTTGGTATTCCATGAATTATGCCATTAACAGATCTGGATGTTACTTTGCTCATCTGAATATGCAAACAGTTAAGCTCTTATTGTGGTATTACTTAGATATGAGACAAGGTACCCAGGTTTTTAAATGAGAACAGCTTTCTTCTGTAAATTTAAACAACAAACAATGCAGTTACAGTAGTTGATAAAGAAATGAAAAGCATTCAGATTCTGGTGATTTCCGTTTTACCCTGTGCATTAATAGTTGTATTTGTGGACATTGGTGTGACTGAAAAAGTAAATTTTTAAACATGAGTCTAGTCTGTTGGACCCTCTGTTTTCAATTCATGATTTTTAAAGCCATAAATGAAGTTTGCAATTGCAATTTATAATATAATTTTTTTTTGTCCAGGCTGTGTACCTTAATAATTGATTGAACTTACAAAATGATTAAAAATGCAGTGTTACTTTGCTTAAATTCAGCAATGTTCTAAACTAATTGTTAAATGTGTTTTCTTCATGTAGTATGTTCATTGGCCCCACACTTGGTGGTTTCACAACTCAAAGGCTGAATTTTCAATGGGCTGCGGTCATTCAAGGAGGAATACCCTTTCTTGCTGTAAGTACAAAATGTTATAGAAATTGAGTGGTGTAGATGATCATGATTGGTTCATTAATTTTTGGAAAGTAACACCTTTGGAAAGAGATGACAGGAGCTGGTGGGAAGCATTTAAAAAAAAAAAAGAAAGCAAACTTGAATTTCCAGACAAAGTGTACTGTCAGATGCATAAAGTAGTTTTCATTATTATTATTATGAAGACTCCAGACATTTGGAGATTATTGGCTTAATTGCATTTTACCCAGATGTCAAAAAATGTATACTTTTTCCAGATACAAAACTAAAAACTGGAAAAGGGAAATGTCCGTTGCGAAAATGAGTACAGGTAGGAAGGGGGAAAAGAATGGAAAGGAGAAACCGCTGCTCATAGCAGACGTTCACAAGCACATGGGCTTTTTGATAGATGCCTGAAGTCCATGTTTCATTTCCAATTTAAAAAACTTCATGCCAAAAGGAATACTTGGGAGTTTTTGGATCCTTTTATATTGAAACATGTTTTCACATTTTGCTTTTTTAGTCATTCTTATTGGGACTTTATTTATTCATGGAGGCAATAAAGAAGAAAAGGTAAGATTTGTTTTATCCAGTTTGTATTAGCATGTTCAGTGGTGTTATTCAGGAGTACCAATCCTATAATGGAAGATTCACTATGAAAGATGTAGTGAGCTGGATGAGAAAGGGAGTAATTATTTGGTAACATGTTTAGATGTCTGTAGAAATACAACTGACTTTATTTAAGCTGCTATACTAGACCACAAGTTGGCTTCTGTTGTTATGCCTTTTTTTACCTGATGCTCACACTCTTGAGTACAACAAATATAATCTTTCTTATGATATACAGTACCATGGAAAATAATGTTTGTATTACTTTCCAATGTGTAAACATAAAGATGTTTTACTACTACAGTTGAACAGTTTTCACAAGTTACAGTGCACTATTCTTATTAGCCTTATGCTAATTTAATTTAAATAATCACTTAACCAGCATGCAGAGTATTCTATAAGAATACCCTTTTCAATGTTTAACTCTCTGTGAAATCTAGGTCCTGTTTCTTACTAAAGCTTACGTGTTACTAATAAAACTCACTCCACCTGCTGGCAGATAAGCAAAATAGCAGTCTGTTTACAAAAAAAGGTTAACGAATGGGTACTGGACGTTGTAATTTAAAAAAAATGTATTTTGGAAATCTGTATCACATTAACAAGTTTTGGAGATCTTACAATATGTGTCCTGTTTATTGTAGCTGCTGCAGAAATGTTTTCTGCACACTGATACTGTAGATTATTCAGTTATGGCCCTGAAAAGCCCCAGTCCAGCAGGTATTATTGTTAAGCAATGGAACAGTTGAATTACGAGTGATCAAGTACCCATCCATTCTCTGACTGTTTCAAGGTCACAGGGAAGCTGGTGCCATTTCGGCAAGAAACTGGCAAGCAAGGGTACAACCAGGACAGGACACCGGTCGATCACAGGGCATACATAGTCACAGACACATATACACACACTCACATAATTTTCTCCAGAACCAGTTAACCTACCAGTATGTCTTTGGACTGTGGGAGGAAACTGAGCACCCAGATGAGACCCACAGAACCATGCAGAGTCCATACAAGCTCCACACAGATAGCACCCCTGGTCTGAAATTGAACTTAATTGTTAACATTAAACATTTTACTAATTTCATACCATGGAATGAAGTTGACCATCGTTATTTCTTTCATGAGTTACAAAATAACATGGGTTGATCCCTTGAGTCAGTTACTTCACTGAGTAGGCCCAGCAGGTGGGGTGCCTCCTTGTCTTGAAAGTGATAGGCCATTCCGACCTTTAAAAGTAAATTTCTGACATTTGGAGAATAACAAATCGTGTTGTAAAAAGTTTGTCTGTCAAAAATAAGTGAGCTTTTCTTGATCCTAGGTCTCGTCAAGTAGTTCACGCTATTGGAGAAAGAACTCCTCTCCTGAACAGCAGCTCAGCTGAAACACAATGATGCTTGAAAAGAGAACATGGTGAATGATCAAAACCTACTGCAGAAAATCTGGGTTATAACAGAAATGCAGCAATGTTTTTTTTTAATTTATTTTGATTTATTTTTGTTTAATACACTGAGAACTTGATGTTATGCATTCAACTTAACATGTTTACGCACTTTTTATAAATTAATGAAACATTTTTAGGATGAGAAGATATAGTTTAGGCTTGTTCTTTATGCCACAAAATACCATAATAAAAACGTCACTTTAATCGACAGGGTTTCTGTTACATGGCCTCTGTAAACAGAATCACATCTGAACACATTCCGTTTCCACAGTGCTAAAACTTATTGATGTTCACTAGGGGAAAAAATAATTAATAGAAATCTATTTTCAATCACACTCCTAGCCTAAGCAAGAAAACACTTTATGGATGCCATGATTACCTTAAACACAACAATGAATTTTAAAGGGGCGTCGTTCTGCTAGTTTGGGAAGTATATAATGGAAACAAGCAAGCTTAGACACACCCCTTCCCTGGAGGTTCTTCAGTGACCGTGCCACAGGCTTGCAAGTGCCTGGGAGGCCACAGGTGCCGGTGAAATAGCCCCAGCCCTCCGATCCCACCCTATAGCCTGGGCTGAACGCAGCCACTTGTGGAATTCTGGTCACATGACCCAGCACTGAACCCACAAGGACCTTTTCACTATGTGGGAAAAGTACTGCTGTTTACAAGACTGTATACCTTTTTTCCTTTACCTAAAAAAATCTACTTCAATGTCCATTGTTATAATACTGTTACATTGTAACTTCCTAAGCAAACAGGAAGTGTCTATCCCTAGGTGAGATGCAGTACTCGTTGGGCCGGAAACAGAATGTGGCAAAAGAAGTCTCATAAATCAATATGCAGCAATATTGTCCATGCTTGAATTTAGTTTCAGAATATTAATTTTTAATTTCCTCTGTCCTCGTTTATTAAACGGTGTGTTTAATCAGAGCGTAAGGTATAAAGGCAATGGGTACAATGGGTAAATAAAATATTTAAGGTGAATAAATACAATATTATACTTATTTTCACAGAAGACTGGTATAGAGACTGCTACTATATCCTGATTCCACCACCCTTTTAACCCTTAAGATGCTCTACTACATGGGAACACCGTAGTGGCTTGCATTTCATCCCAAAGCTCTTTACATATAGGAAGGGACACATTTCATCCTGCACTGTAGTGCGGCACCCACCTGAGTCACGCATGGCAGCCATTATGCATCAGCTGCCCTAATTCATGGTGGAAGATCAGGTGGAGATCAGGTGAAGATGTGCGAAATTACTTTGCCATTTTAAGAGACTCCAAAAAGGGCTCAGCTGGCCCAGAAGAAAATATAGGTAAACCTGTTGGGGGTTACCCTTCAATTACGAAAGTTTAACCTAAACTAAAATGGTATAAGTCAGCATGTGGAAGACTTTGTGTGATTTCATTGTTAATGTGAGTTTAATCATAATGTCTTGTTTCATCCTTATTTCTAGTTATTCTGTAATATCTTAAGTACAGTAATCAGACTGCACACTGGCCATCAGTAAATTAACCACTCTAAAGAAATGTTCTTTGTGTTAGGCTCTAAAATAAAAAAACGATAACATAGCTGTTACGTTCTGATAAGTTCTGATATGTGACTATCATATTTTTATGTATTTCTGAGCTCACAGCAGCACCTACTGGATGCTGTACACTGTTGTCTAAAGTATGACTCCTTAATACAGGCTGGTTCTTTCCACTTGTATGACATAATAGAAGAACCTCGACTTTGCCTGAGGATTTTTTCAGTGAGAAATGTCTGTAGTTATGACTGTGCTTCTTTACAAGTGGTTGCTACCTTGAAAAATACCAAGTGAAAAGGAAACAAAATCCCTATCTCCCCCCCCCCATAGCTGACTTGCACCACATGCACATCTAACCTCATTCGTTTTTCTGTCTGTTCAAGGTCATGTTTCACTTTCATACAGTGCAAACCTTTAGGGTGCAACCATTTCCTTTATAGTTCTTTCATCTCTCCTTTTTTTTGCCATTTTCCTAAAGTCGTGCTCCCCCAGCATTAGTCTTAATAAGTCTCCAGTGAGAGACCTGGAGCTGGGTTTGATGCAGCCTTATATATACATAGGCCCTCAGGAATGATGGAAAACAGCTGCACTAAATCAGCCTAGTGAAACTGTAAGTTGGTTCTTGATAGCCCAATATAGTAGATCCTGGTACTTGAATTTCCAGCCCTCAAGGAAACTGCAGATGTTCTCATTACAAGGTAAGAAGGGATATGGAGTTTTCCATATCCTGGGATCAGAGTATACTCCGATGTGACACAGTAAGAGGCAAAGTAACACTACTAATATTTCATTGAGAAACCTGTCTTGTTTATTTATTATATATATGCCTTTATACTGTATACCCCCTACTAGCTAGTCGAAGCGTAACAGTGTAACAGTATTTAATAATTGAGGAAGGGGACTCGAGATTTAATTTATGAAGGTGGAATAATTGCGGCCTGTGGATTTATGAGACTACTTTTCCCATATTCTAACCAGTCCATAATGTGTTCTGGTCTATAGTTTGGTACAGACTGTTACACTTTTGTTTTCTCCTGGATCTTCCCTTAAAGCCCAAATTATCTCTGTCAAATCAAATGAACAAACACATAGCTCTCGAAAGTATTCACCCCCCCTTGGACTTTTCTGTCACAGTATTTGAGTCAATATTTGTTAGAGGCACCCAATCAGATACTTAATGATTCCATATTGTAACATAATAACGTGAAAAAGTCCAATGGCAGGTGAATGCTTTTGATAGCCACTGTACCCACAGACAAGTTAAAATCCTGTCAGGCTTATGGGTATTTTATACAATAAAGGTCTTTTTGATGAGGGGGCAGGATCTGTCCTAGCATTGAGCCTTGAGGGTTTCAGGTTGAAAACTAGGCTGTGTCACTGTCTGACTAGGCAGCTGCTGCACAGACTGGATCAGTGCTGTCGTATTGTGCAGTGTTGTGGGCAGGAGGTTTGCTTGTTGATAGTGAACTCTTTTGAGGAGAGGACTGCTCTTCAAACTGCACTTTGTGAGAGAGGCGTATCGGCCTGCTGGTAGCTAGAACTCCCTTTGGATTGTATTTCATACAGGAAGGGCTTGACCTTGAGATGCTAGTCTGTACCCACATGTTGTCTTTGTAAACACCAGTGCCAGTCAAATAAACTATTGCAGTGATTCAGAAAAAAGGAACTGTAATCTACTTTATAACATTGTGACAGGCTTATGTTTCTCTTATTTAATATGACCAAGAAAGAGACTGTTAATACTGTTTTAGGTTATATTGTTAACTGAAGTAAATAAACACCGTTTTAGTGTTTTTTTTTACAATACTGTGGATTTAAAAACAGTTAACTGCAGAATGTCATTCATCATGCCCATGAAATAATTCCTGTCATGTTTGCACTTTATCGTTCCAGTAACACCCATGTACTTTTACCAGGCCTAGTGGTTTACTTGGTTTATTTGTATGCATTTGTTTATACTAAAACATTGATAAAATACAGCAAGTCTTTGACTTCCTTCAATGTACGGTATACAGTACTTGGTTCATAATTATTGCCGCTGCTCACTGACAACTTCGCTTATTTTTTTTAATTCCTACTTCTTTGTAGGCTTAATTTTCATAAGTAGTTCAGGTGGGTAGCCGCGTCAGCGTGCGTAGGCTGCAAAGGAACGAGTAATAGGCTTAGATCACACCCCTAAGAAGGCTCCACAGCTGAAACATTGTGTTTTCTTTCTTCTCTTTTCAGCATGGAATAAACCTATTACTTGTTCCTTAATTTTCATAATTTCTTATTAAAACTAAAATGTTAATAATAATGTGTAACTTAAAAACAATCGAAGATGAAATTGCATTAATATAGTGTATAACGACATTAATCATTTCAATCTTTAAAAGTGAACGCAAGGTCCTTTCCACAGGTACTGTGAATCTAGTTTCTGAGGATCTCCCAGAAAATGATGCTGCATATTTTTAAAGAAATAATTCTCTCTAGACAACAATGAAACTTTCAAGGCTGAAACATGAAAGAAGAGCACACATGCAACAAATCTGCTAATTTTGTTCGTTTTACTTTTCTTCAAAATATTTCACCAAGAGAAGAGGAGAGAATTACTTTCTGGGTGATTTTTTGGGTATTTACTGTATATCTGGTTGTGCTTTTCCTCCAGCCTTCAGATGTTCTCTAACTGAGGGTACCAGCACATCCATTGTTTTCTGCTGCTTATTAAACAGGCAGTTTAATGGAAGTCCTCTGTACAATCGTATTGTAACTGGTGATTTGTATGTTTATTATGATTTACATGTTTACATACCACTCAGTCTTTCAATTTCAAATGACCTGAAATTAAAAGACTGAGACAAGTTACAGATATGGTTGAAAGATTCCTAATCCTAATAAAAATATTAACCAACTCACTGAAATATTTTTTCCCCCCACAGATTTAAAATTATTGAGACTAGTTTGCATATAGACCATACAAACCGCAGAAGAGATATATACTGTATATCAGTACTTAAAGCTTGGTTTCCTAACAACTGTAGGGAGATGGGTATCAGCTGTGCATCTAAAGAAAAAAACATTGCACTTTCAATTACAATTCTTTCACCAATACTCTCTCCAGGCAGTTACATTTTTGCAATATTTTGACTGAGAATTGTAAATTAATTCAGACACAATTTTCCTTAGAAATTGATCAGGTGGGTTGCTCTGAGAAACTTGATTGGAAGACTCCTTCTTTACCATCTGAGACAGTCTCCTCTCCACTCACATTGGGGAAAAAATAAGAGCAACTTTCAAACTTTCAAAAAAACAAAATTGAAGAAAATCCACAGGTCCAGACAGTCTGTCAGCTGCACCCTCAGCCACTGTACCAACCAACTAGCTCCTGTGTTCAGCGATATTTCTAATAGGAACAAATAATAGGTTTATTCCATCCTGAAAAGAGAAGAAGAAGACACAATGTTTTGGCTGTGGAGCCTTTTTCAGGTGTGATATTTATAATACTTCACTTATGCTGAAAGTGCCTCATGGTTTCAAAGTATCCACTCTAATAACTGTTTAAATAAGTCTTCAAAGATCTCCTGCCTTAATACAGTCAATGTGAATAACAGGACATTTTGCCCTCTGACTTTTAGCACAGGTACTCCCAAAGGCTGTGTTTTTTTTCACTTTTTATATCCTGTTCAAATTCACATCTTGGGTAGACCCCGTAATATTTTTACCTATGCAGATGATACTGCTGTTGTTGGCCTTAGCTCTGATAATAATGAGGCTCGATACCAAAAGGTGATTGACTGGGCAACAAAGCAGTGTTCTGATGACATTCAGCTCAATGCATAAAAAAATAGAGAAATCATGTCCAGAACATACTGTAGAACTTCTCATGCTATACTGACTACAAATTCCATACATACTGTAAGCGCCAATCTTAAATGGAGCACCAACACAGATCATCTAGTTGAGAAGGCACAGCAACCGAAAAAAACCACTAAGTGAATCAACACTTTTTACCCAGCCATACTTTAAAGTACTGCGACAGCTTAAATCAAAGATTACTATTCGGACAGTTTTACAAAAGGAAAACTCGAAAGGATTGTGTCCAAAGCCTCAAAAATAATAGGCTGTGAATTTCCTTCCATTTCAATCCTTTACACAAGGCAAACCTCCAGTCGTGCTTATAAGATTATTTCAGACCCTTCGATTCCAGCTCATAATCTTTTTTAGCTCCTCCCTCCAGGAAAATGCTGCCTGCTTCTTTCACACTGTAATACAAACTTTGAACTTTTCCCCCTTCAGTGATTTAGCTTCCCATGAGAATTTCTTCTACAATTCTGTTTGTTCCATGCAAGGTTAATGTTTATGCGTATGTGTGTTGCTTGACTTTTCATCTTTTCATTAAATATTGCATGTGTTGTATGTTTGCTCCATCTTTTTTCTTTTGCTGTATTAAAACCAAATTTCTGGGCAGCATTAAAGAATTCTAAATCTAAAGAATTCTTTCAAGATTTAGAGGGACTTCATACTACATAAGTAGTTTTGTTCTTACTGAAGCCTTAATTTTAATACATCACTACTGAGTGTGCGGTGATCTTATATGTTCTGCAATATAAATGAAGCCCCTTTTGCTAGTTGTGCCATAGTAAAAAGATTTAGACAATATGAGCTGTTTTTTTCAATAGGGTTACGACTTACTATGAAAGTTCATTGTCTATGAAAAGTCATACAGAAAAGGCAACAGAAGTAACACTTGGAGGTCATTGTTTTGCCCTCTGTTGATGGTCTCATCAGCCAAAAACCAGCCTGTAGCAGCCAAGCTTATCTTGGAACTGTTAATATGTACCATTTAGGTTTTGTCATTAAAACATAACTCTTTTTCTCCTATTAAGTCAAAAAATGTTTCAGTGGTTATTACCTCACTTCAGACTTATTAAAACTAGTCCAGTGCATAGAGAGTTCATTACAGTTATTACATCGTTTCATCCATTTGCTACTCTGCTTTTCCAGTAAAGGGCTGCAGGGGGATCCTATACTGGTGAAACAGGAGTAGAAAATAGATGTAGGTTGGCTGGATTTAACCCAGGAAGCAACGGGCACAAGACAGAATACACCTTGGACAGGACACCAGTCCATCACAGGGTAATACACAGACACATTCACACCAGGCCAAATTTGCTCAGAAACTAATTAACCCATTAGAATCTCTTTGGACCGCGGGAGCATACAAACTCCACATAATTGAGGTTATGGTCTTTAAATCCATAAGTGACACTCCTGAAACTGGCAGTATTGAATGACAACACCTCCCTCGACACAGATTTGCATTTCCCCTGCTTCATGAAGATCAAATTCATGTTTTGCCTTTAAAGATATTTAGGTATTTTATAATATATTTATAGAACCTTGCAACTCTGAGTGTTATTTACTTAGGTATAATAGTTTTAAGATAATATATGCTTGACAGTGATATTATTTGTATGGTTTAGGGATATACACTAAGAATGTCAGAATGACTAAATAAATGGTGTGAAAAGTTTTATTTTACAACTCCTAAAACTTTTTTAGTGCAGAACTATCCCGCCACCTACTGGCATAAGTGGATATATATTTATACCCTTCACAGTAGTAGCTGGTGGTAGGTAACATTACGACCTGGAAATAGTTACAATTCATGATACCATCCAGTATATGCAGCAAACCTACAATTTACTTAAAGAAAGTACAGCTTTTAGTGTTAATAAAAATATAACTGAAACGGTTTCGGTCAGTTGATTTTACTCAACTGATAAATTCTTACTGTTCATAACATCGTCATTTTTTATCCTAAATATTTTATGTGCTTTCTAAAGGTGAGCACACAGCAGTGGAGAATCTATTTAATATAGTTATAATTGCTTATTTTTTAGTTCTAAATTTCCGGCAATAAAGTGGACACCTTAAGCACTTGCCCTGTTGAGGTCCTTCCAGACTGAGGGTTTAAGCTAATGACGTCGAAATGTGACGCCCTCTTTTTCCGCTGTCAGAGAGGAGGTGAGGGTGAGTTTTTGTGCGTCTGTTCGATATCCATATAAAAATCTAAAGCATCCTTTCTTTTAACATCGGAAAAATTTTCCATCGAACATGGGCAATAACAGATGCACCGGTGTATTCTTATATTGCAGTAATTTAGGTCCAACATCCACCGTTAATCTACAATGGCCGAGGAAGGGTAAGTTCACTATAAATTTCACTTTCTGGGCAAGTCCCCAGTTTAGATTTAGTCGGGTTTTTAATTTATATTTTAAATATTTACCTGTGTAATTGAAAGCTTCAGGTGGTGTTAACTGGGTAGAAGCGTAAATCGAAAGTCCCCAGGACTTCAGAAGTACCATAGATCTGCGGTTCATGAACTTTGCCTGTAACAGCACGTCTGGATGTTAAAGCGTCTGAAGTCAGGAATAGGGGTTTTACTGAAGCTACGGCTCGTGTGTGATGATTATTTTTCTTTAGTCGGATACCCCTTCACTCGCAATCATGAGTGAAATCCCCTTTCTGACACGCCAGTAGCTGTGCACACGTGTTCTGCGCGGTCCCGGCGACTGTCTTGTGCAGTTCAAGTCATGGTGACCTGTTTCCTTCTCCTTCACCCCCGGGGGTAAAGCATTGCTGCTGGAGGTGTGATGGATGTTAACACCGCTCTCCAGGAAGTGCTCAAGACCGCACTCATCCATGATGGCTTAGCCCGCGGGATCCGCGAAGCCGCAAAGGCGCTGGACAAGTAAGTCTTCCCCGGTCCGCAGTACAAAGAGAGTTCTTCATTTGAGGCCGACCTAGACTGAGATTATTCATGTACAGAATATGCAATAGCTGTTTTAGTAGGTTCTCTTTTTTGATTAAAAATTTGATCCTTAAATTCGGCTAATCGAAATTGTTGAGGTGGATCGATTCAGATTTAGCGCCGATGTTTCTGTAGACCAGGCTCAGGTGTCTAGACAGATGGTTGTTGCATCTTTGATGATGATTTGGCTCCCTCTACTGAATTCTGTGAGGAGGAAAGCCATCGTTACCCAATTTTGTCTGAGATGCAGTTAACCACCCGGTACGTGAGTGTTTTCTGGGAGTTCGTCTTCAGTTTAAGCGATAGCGGCCTTAGGCAGCTTTCCAGATCCTGTATTGGCGCTGCAGTACAACTTTATTGGGCTTTCCAAGTTCTGACACAAGTCTAAAACCTGTTGGCTTGAGAGTGGGATTGGCGCGTTCGTGTTTCACTCCCCATGTTCCCCTCCGCTTGCGCTAGCTGCTCCTCTCCTGTGATGAAAGCAGCTTGTACTTTCTCTCCCGTGCAGGCGCCAGGCCCACCTCTGCGTTCTCGCCGGCAACTGCGATGAGCCCATGTACGTGAAGCTTGTGGAGGCCCTGTGCGCCGAGCACCAGATCAACCTGATCAAGGTACCGTTCGGCCTTGCCTGCTGGGGAGGAGTACTGAGGCAGAGCCGTTTGTGCTAGCGCAGCATCTTGTGAGAAGTGGCACCGATTTGCTGAATACACTGGTTCAAGTAGAGTTGATGGTCAAGGGGAGGCGATTGTATAACTATGTGATCGTTAGTTATTAATGAGCTAACGGTCTGGTAAAATGTTAAGCGTCCCTAATGTAATGCAGTGATGGGAAGAGGTTAGCTAGCCTCATCACTGATAAATCTCATCACTATTTTGTATAGATGCTGTAGTAATGTTCTACAAAGATCAGAATTTATGGTAAATTTAGGTCCAGTCAAGTTACGGTTGCTCTAATTTATTCTGTATAAAGTGTGACCGGAAGTTGAACCTGTGAGGTTACAGGTAGTTTATTACAGAATGACAAGTCTGTCAAGTAATGCTGCCAAGCAACACCCCCTAAAAGTGTCGGCTAACACCTGTGAACATAAGTGATTGCAAAGAGAAGGTGGTTTGACCCATCTGACTCATTGGATTTTTTTTGAGATTTGAAAAGAATGTTTTAAACCTTTTAATGTACGTTAGGATGTGATTTAGGATGTTAAAACCTTGTTTCCTTGATTTAATTAGTACTGTTGTCCTTAATATCTTGTATTTGATATACTGAAAGCATGCAGTTCAGTTCTTCAGCTGTTGCACTGTTTTTCAAATAAACGGAAATGTATTGCCTATTTTAACAATGGTGCTTTTAGAATCATAAATTAATTTTTGATGTAGCTTCTAGTTACACATTGGCTGGGCTGTTCGGGGTTTGGCAGTGACAATTACTGTACTGTATCCATGATAGTGTGGCTCCCTTCGTGGAATTCCGTGTGTTAGTCATTTCTCGGGGTGCTTTTTGGGAAGGTGGAGTATAGTGATAACTGGAACTGTTGTTCTTGCTCCTTTCAGGTTGATGACAACAAGAAGCTCGGTGAATGGGTAGGCCTCTGCAAAATCGACAGAGAGGGCAAGCCTCGCAAGGTTGTTGGCTGCAGTTGCGTTGTCATCAAGGTGAGTCTTCAGCTGAGGTCGGAGGTGAACAGCCCTGGTCCTGGGGAGGCGGTCTGGCTGTGGGTTTTCAAGGTCATTGGGAGAAGCTGTCAATTGGTCAAGTTAAGGCAGCAAACATGCAGGCTCACCAGCCTTCCAGGGCTAGACACTTAAATTTGCTCCTTTATTTCCAGCTGTGTAATAGAACAGTGTCGTCTGGTCAGTGGCTAGGAGAGAGCCAAGCGAATGCAGGTGCCTGAGCCCATCATGCCAGGCAGCTGTGATACTTCTGGCTAAAAGAAATTGCCACATTACGAGCCTCAGAAACGGTTTGTTGTTTTTGAGGTCCCTAATAATGGCAACAGATAAATGTTAGTCATTTGTCATGTTACTGTATTCATTACACCTCCATTAGGTAGAATTTTATTCATCTCTGAAGGGGGGTGATGACTAGTTGTATTGTGGAAGGAACAGTGATAAAGTAGATTGTTCATCCATTATTATGGTCCGATTAAGCACGCTTTCATATTCTAGAGTTTTTTACTTACGAAAGTTTGAGATTGCAACTATGCATACCTATATTGGATTTGATTTTTTTTTTAGTGTGAGCTTCTAAAAAGGCATTCTTGAATTCTGTTACAAACATCTAGAGCACTAACATCTACTGTGTTAAGATACAGTTAGCATGGCAGATGTAACTTTTCAGTATTAAACTTCAACCCCAAATTCCTGTGCATTGGAACTGTGCTGTGAGCTGCACCTCTGCATGTTACCTGGAGAGATCCTGGTAACTGCAGTGTAGCCCACTATTTCCTGAACCCCCTATAAGTAGAGCATTAAGTTGTGTAGCGTTCTTGTTTTAAATATCTATTGCAGGTTAGGTAGAATTTAAATACATCTGAAAGTGTTCTGAGTATGTGTTAAAGCTTTTGATTTGATAAACCTTTCCTCAATTTTGTAAAACATCAGTAGATGTTATAAAACTCTTTAGAAGTGAAATTGTGCTTCAAATGAACCAGTCGTATTTCTCAGACCTTGCTCCTGTTTTTAGTAATTAAATTTGTGACTATTAAAGTGTGTTCTTTTTTTTTTTGCTTGAAGAACTGCACAAATTAAGAGTTCAAAATGTTTCTCTTGTAGGATTATGGCAAGGAGTCTCAAGCCAAGGATGTAATTGAAGAATACTTTAAGGCCAAGAAATGAAGTGTGAATAAAGTTGCCTGAAACAGAAATGGACTTGTTTATTTCTTTAACTTGAAAAGGTCTAGTAAACACAAAAGAAGATACATTTGAGATCATTTGATCTATATTGATTTGCGGGTTTTAACCTTGACACTTGCATAGTAGTTGATTTGGTTTCCTGCTGCATTATTACTGCAGTTTACATTTTACCGCGGGTTTTATTTTAGTTGTTGTCCAAGAGGATTTACACGATTTTAAATTGGCACTTGAGTTAAAGCCAATATGCTTAGGGCTCTACCTTAATCTGTAAATGGGTGTAAAATTAGCTGTGATTTACCACACCACTGAAATCTTCCTAAATGATAAAACTGAGGTTTGAAAAACTTGTAACTATACATACAAAACCTTCAGTTTACAGAAGAAGTTCTGTGTTTGGGATTTTATCTATCTGTTCATCCATTCACTGTTCACAGTGCAGAATTCCAAATGTTTCACTACACTTGGTACAATTAATGTCAGCTGGTGTTTTTCCATTTTGTGTATCTAAATATATCTGTACCATACTTCCATGTGTGGCCTTTAACAGAAAAGGTTAAATTGGGTATAGCCTAGTTTGCCACTTTTTGCTAAGCCTAAGGTTTGCTGCCCTTTTCATCAATACTTGATTTGTGATACCCCAGTAATACACAAGACTGATGCAAGTCGGTTATGGTTGTGGAATAATATGATTTTTGTATTGATCTGGGCAGCAAATCTGCTGCACAGGCTGAATTCATCTTTGTTTTTTTACGGTGGTCTGTTAAGAGTACTAATAGCCTTAGAGAATCTGTAATGAAACATCTTAAAAGAGAAATGGTATATTGGATCATATGGGGTTGTATGTTATGTTAAAGCCATGTCATGCCATGTACAAATCCTTTGGTGACTGCTCTTGGCTGTGATGTTAAGTGGTCTTAATAGTTGAGTATTTTGAGAAATACTACATTAGGAACATTAGGATGAGCATGGTGACTTCTTGGGGATTTAAGTTTGCATCTGGTCTGGGGCTCTTATTTCATGACCACACATGTAGACTCTCCATGGGTCCTTTGCTTTCCTCACACAAATCGGTAACCTTTCTAGGTTAAATGGCATCTATATTGTCCATGGTGTCTGTGTCCTCTGATGAACTGGAGTACTACCTAGGGCTTATCCTACCGTGCATCCATTGCCTGCTGTGTTACGCTTGGTCTTGCTGCAACCCTGTATGGGGGACTCGGTGATTATTAAAAAGGTATGTTGGGATTAACATAGGATTTAGGATTTGTAAAGCACTACCACATGAGGTAAAATATAGAACATACACTCACCTTAAAATGGCATTAAAACCTGTATATGTGATTCAGTAACCAATATACTTGGATTATTATGCTTTAGGTCACATTTATGTACAGAAGATTATATCTGGGAAGTCCATGAAGAAAAGGTCTATCTCCTATGGAATGCTCTGTAGGTACACAGGTTCACTGTGTGCCACTGTATAAACAAACGAGTATTTGTGATATTTTTTAATCATTCCATATTAAAAGATACATCACATTTCATTCTGATAAATCTGATGTGGATCACACTGTATATTTCTTGGTGTAATGCTCCCACGAGGGTCTGGTTATTCTGCTTCCAGAGGTGGTGGAAGATCATTACTTTTCATTGGAGTTTATATGCCCATGAAGATCGGCAAAAGGGGCCTTCAGATGCCTGTGCCTCTGATGTCAGATGTCTTCTGTTAATGCTCCACAGACATGCATCTGTATCCCATATGGATGCCCTTTATTGTTACAGTAAAACCTTGGTATTTGCGAGGATTAGTTACCTAGAAGTCTCGGTGACTGGCCACTTAAAGAATGTGGCACTTGATACCTTATGGGGAAAACGGGGTGTGGTTCCACAGCTCTTACAACAAGCACTACTGGAGTAATTTTATGGTTATAACTTAACTGTTTCAGAAATAGTGTCATTGTATTTTTAATAATATATGTAATTCTTCCCATAATGCAAGTTAATGCATATGCAAATAAATTAGATCACTGTTATGGTATTATAGCTTTCACTGTGTTAGAGGTTCTCCTTCATTCTTAGTACTGCACATTTTCTTATCTTTTCACCTCTTGTTTTTATTACTATTATAAATGTGGCACTACTGTTCCATAATAAAATTTATTGCAGAACACTAAATTAAGTGTACTCAACCAAAGCATTCTCCTGCTCCTGAGATTCTTACTTCTAAATTTTTTTAATCCTTTTCCATGAGACACGAGAACTGACTGATGATAAGGTTTTTTTTTTAATTTAATGTTTAATTTTGCAGCACAACACTGAGTCACATACAGGTGTGACTGATAACATTAACATTGTCAACATACAACACACATCTAATGCTTTCCTGAAGGAAACTAAATAAAGTATAACTGCTGATGCTCTGCTAACCCCTGACAACCTTTAACCAAGCTATCTTTCTGACAGAGACTGATGCAGGTCAGGTCATGTACTGTAGATCCTTGAGATGAACATGCTGCATACTGTATAAGTGGGTGCCCATTTAATCTACTGCACAGTAGATTTGAATGAGCATATTTAGTCCGCAAATGCAGAAAAGAGGGTCACTAAACTTTTTGTGCAAATAGGAAAAATCGCAAATATAGAACTCGCAAACCGAGGTTTTACTGTATTTTCAATTTCCAGATACAAAGATGTCAAATTAATAGATCCAAGGAGGAAATACTAATGATACAATGCTGTGGTGGGGATTAAATTTAAAACCCTGCACATTTTTTCTGATTGCATTATTACCACAAAAATTATGTCAATCCAGTGAAGAACAACCGAAAGGCATACATTAAAATATACAAAATCCCACAGGCCTCAATTTGGTTGAATTTGAGACACATTTATGATCTCCAAAATCTAATGCAGACATTGAATGAAGGCAAATTAGGGATATCTATCAAAAATGATAGATAAAGGATTCTGAACTCAGTGACTTTCACTTATTGTATTGGAACATGCTGAGCATCAGAAAAATGAACCCATGTTTTAGAAAAATGAAGTATTTTGGATATCAATCATACGTTTTTGGTGTCATTGTGATTAATTGATCATTCATAATCATGACCAACAGTAATACACTTGCTTCACTTTAGGAACTGATATGCCCTACTTATCAACAATACAATACCTTCAAGCTTTCGATATTTTGGGCTTGGTCAGCACATACAGTAGCTCCTTGCCAGCTGGGGCATTCACAGACAGCAATTTCTAATCTGGCAAGACATTCCAGTCTTATACAGTTCAAGACCAGAAAGAGTCACAGCAACTCACACAGATTGAAACGGTTCTATCTCTCTGATCCTTTTAACGCTACAGGTTCCACTACATCACAAATGACCGGCTACACACACTTGCAGATCAGCAACTCAGCTGTGAGGAGGAGGCTTGCAGGCCAGGTGACCACACAGGGGGACAGCTCTCTCAACTGTGTTCACAGACACAGCAGAATAAGGTGGTGTGAGCCACGCGTCACGAGAACCCTGCAGTGGAGCCAAGTACTCATTAGAGACTATACTGATCAGGTTCTATAATCTTACTCGCTGCCTTTCCTTTGGGCTCATCAAGATGCGACAGCACTCTCAAAGGACTGCATCCAGCCTCACGCTGCTCGAGCAATAAACAGCATTCTTATGAGACGAGAATGGGAGTTACAGTATGCTGTGGAAGTCCTGCTCGCCACACTTCAATCCCAGATGAAGATCTGTGGGGCGATCAGGGGAAAAGCGTGGGATCCAGAGCTCAGAGTCCAGTGAAACAGGCACATGCTAGTCCAGGCTGTAAGAGAGGAAGGGGACAGAATCCCACAAGACAGCATTTGCCGCCTGGTTCAAAGCATGTCACAGGTGTACAGCTGGAATTGCTTTCAATGGTGGCCACACATGCTACTAATCTGTGACATTTACAGTAGAAGCCCCCTGTTGATGACAAATGTTAATAAGCAAAAATATCTCAACCTATGTCATGCCTGTTCAATAGAATACGAGTACACCTGCTACTCAAAAAAGTCATTTCCTTACAATTACTGTGTGAATTTACTGTTGATAGACGTGTCTTTTGATGCTCAGTATAGATGTTTTAACTAATTTATATTTTGCATGGAAACCGATTAAAACAAGATTCGATACAAATCTATATCCACACCTTAGTATTCTCTAAGCAGTTTGGCGCAATTCAAGATCACCTTTAAGTAGCATACTGAACATACTCTTGGTAAATACTTCCACATTTCAAAGGGAGGACATATTAGTTGACATTCAAATAAAACACAAAACTGTCCTTTATTTGCTATTTTGCTCCAACTGATGCTTATGCTGCTTTGAAATCAGAATTGTAAATCTGATGCTTTTGAAATTTGGTCTTGTCAAAAATTATCACAAACAGTTTTATCTACATTTTTTTTTCTTTAAACAAAATTACAATGTAACACACAAACACTTTCTTTTTAAGGCACAACAACTCATTATGCACATTCTGCTCGCCAAAACTTACAAAAAGATGATCATATTCAGTTTTTTTCTTTCACAAACATCACTTCCCATTAAACTAGTAACTGTAAAATAATTTACACAAATTTTAGTTCTAGGTTTGATTGTCGTCATATTTGGAGTGCATTTCTATTGCCAGTTTTGCTGGGATAGGTAGGTATATGTTTCATGTAAAATGTTGATACATTCCATCTTGAGGAGTGTGAATCACTGTCCAGTCAATGTAAAAGAACAAAGAAGTCCGTCACTTCAAAACTGTCCACTGAGGAATCGGAAACCTTTGTTTTATCTGGGGTGTACCAGCACTGTCCTTCACATCTATGCTTTAGAAAAAAAAATCATGTATTAATGTAAGACCTCGTACAGATCTGATATACAACAGGATTTCATCTGGCAGTCCATGCTCCTGTTTTTTTTTAGAAGAGTCCTTGTCTTCTTAAGACAATTCATAGTTTAAAGCCAGAGGTTCAAAATCACAGACAAAACAAATTGCAGTGTACTTTGTTTTAAATATAAAAAAAAGGACTTCCAGCGTTACGATATGATTACAAGTACTCCAGTTCCAGTGCTTGGTGCAAGGCCAGCAGGTCTGAGTGACTTGATATCCTCCAGAAAGGCATGTTGTGCTGTGTTGGAAACAAAGGTTAAGAATTGACAAAGAGCGCATTTTATTGTGAGACCATACCTACCCGGGATACGTTCTGTAACAGACAAATAATAGAAATCTAAATCCCACACCGTTGTGTCATGCAAGATAGTCTGGTTTTGTGCGTGTGTCCGTAACAGCTTTGAAAATAAATACATGCAATATTCTAAACTAAATGCACTGCCACCCTGCACACATGAAAAAAGGAACGGAATCACAACCAAATGTGCACTTCAACCTGCAGGGTCAGTGTATCCAGTGGAAACAGTCTGCAAATTCATGGTGTGCTTTCATCTTACTTCATATTATTCATATTGTGACAAATGAACTTTAAAACCTTTAAAAAAGGTTTAAGGAAAAAATCTTTAATCTTTCTTTTCAGTGTGATTAGCTTGTGAAATTGCCTACGCTGAAAAAAAAAATCTAAAATTGAAACGGAACAAAAATGCACATTCAAGGCCTGCCTGGTTTTTGCTTTTTATTTTTTTTCTCACTACACCTTTGTGGCAAAATGCCAGAAGCTACAGTACATATCTTCAGGAACCCTCTTCTCACATTTATGTAAAATTGAGTAAAACTGACCAGCATTCGATATAGGTTATTTTAATTTATACATAATAAATTAATTCTACTGTAGGTCACACAGACATTTAGTGCTTTATTTAATAAATTACTCCTTCATTAATGCTAAATTCCTTGTGAGCCGCTGCAGCACAAGATATATTCTAAAAAGTCTATGAGTTGTTAACAACAAATGCGCAAATCCGTTTTACTGTACTTCCCAGTGTGTCCTCCTCCGTTTACCTTAAAATGTAAAAGTGACTCCTGACTCATACCTACTAGGTATTTTCATAAAGTAGGTTTATTCCATGCTGAAAAAAAGAAGAAAGAAAACACAACATTTCGGCTGTGGAGCTTTCTTCAGGGCCCTCCTTTAGCCTTCTCCACGGCCGAAACGTGTTTTCTTTCTTCTTTTTTTCCAGCATGGAATAAACCTATTACTTGTTTCTTTGCAATCTTCGCATGCTGACACAGCTACCCACCTGAACTATTTTAATAAAATACTAACTACAGGATAACTAGAAGAAATAAAGAGTGCACAAGCCAATCCATCAGCACTGGATTCCAGATCTCATTATTGGATTAAAATTAATCTTTAAAATGATATAACAAGAAGAGAATCACATGCAAGCTTACACATTTCTATAAATGTTCTCTTCCTCAGAGATATTGTATGACACACATTCATTGGTCCAATTATATAACTAGCAAAGTGAAATTTTAAAATGAGTCAAAATTCTCATTAGATGCAGTTATCCACAGTCTATCGATCTAAAAATTAAGAATGACAATATGTAATTAAATTTAGCAGTTTGACAAATTATACATTTGTGAAGAGGGTTTCACAATCCAGCTTTGATAAAATGTTCTTCATTTTCTTGTTAAAAAGCCAAGCATATACTGTAGGTATTTGTCTTTGTTCAATGATTTCTTTATGCTTTCACAATCACAATCGTCCCCAGTTAGTGATCAAATCAAGTTGTGATTCTGTGCTACATTTCCTTTTCCATACTCATTGTGTATCGTGGTGTAGCAGGGGCGGTAGTACATGTAAATGCGTCTCCCAGAGAAAGCAGTCTAATTGACTATTACAGAGATAAGCTTATTGTCAGACATCAGGGGACTTCATGAGGAACTTACTTTATGTACTGTACTTTAATATAATGAGCTAATCCAATGCAGGGCAAGTGCTATTATGTTTACAAGAATTTTAGTTATTATCATGGACTACTCGTGTATTAAAATTAATTTGTGATGAAATCGATTGTGTTGTAACCCTAGTATTTTAGAATTTGGAATACTTTGTTTTTTTGCATTGGTGTTTAAATTAACACCGAGGATGATTGCAAATTAGAGTGTGCTGCTATTTCTAAACATTCACAGGAAATGTAATTAGAATAAATAGTATAATAAAAGGACCTAGGATTTTGTAGTGGATTAGCACTGAAGAAGATAGTTGGGTGAAATGTGTAATTGTGTGATTAAACCATCCATCCATTTCCTGCAACCCCTTTATCCACACAACTGGTGCAAAGTGGGATCCTAACCCTGGACAGGACACACACAGACATTCACACACTCTTTCCTTTTTTGCAGAAGCCAATTAGACGACCAGTTCCAGCTCCTTCCAACAGTGGAGGAAACCGGAGCACCTGAAGGACACTCACACCGACATGGGGAGGACATCCAAACTCCACACAGACACCACCCTGGGTCCAGAGTTTATCTCAGAGCCCCAGAGTTTCCACGCCCCTGTGTGTGACTGATTTAAATGCTAATTATGAAGTTTATATGCAGAGCGTTGATGTAGAATAAAGACATTTTGTTTCTGGGAGCTGTCAGTCCAATGCTGGTGGCTTAGTCACTGGATTATTCTGTTCATTCATTAACCCCTGAATGAATCACAGCATCATATTTTTAAACACATCTGAAGCACTTCTGTTGCACTGGAAATTCGAATTAAAGAGTAATAAACTATTTTATACAGAAAGAAACTCCTTGGCTGTCATGAAAAACACTGTATATTGAAAATAATTACTCAAACACTGAGAACATCAGTACTACCATATACTGTATAAACTGTAAATGTAAATCAATGAATCTGGTTGTGAGAGGTTGCATGGCACAGTGAGGTTGACTGTTGTGGATTTTCCAAAATGCCCAGGTTGTCGATATCAGCCTTCTTAACACAATTATGTAATGTAGAAAAGTGTGTTTATTTATGATCCAGGTCATCTGAATATAATAATGTGAGGGTGTCATTACATGATAGCAGAAGTCATTACACAAATATTTTCCGCTGGCACACACAGAACAGGATAGGAAAAGCCACACCAGAACATAGCAGTAAGCAATGAGTCTCACACTACAGGCACTATGGGTCAGATTTACCAAGGTTATTAAACCAAGTGCCATGCAAAAACAAAAAAAAGTCAGAATTCTCCATGAGGAAAATTATGAGAACTTTCCTAGCTGAACTTTTTTTCAATCTTTCTTCATAAATATAACTGAGATGCTTAACAAAGGAAAGGGTTATTTTAAACTAAAAGACCTTAGACTTTAGATCTACTAAATGAAACATCTCAATTTTCTAACTATGTTTCCCTGAATATTTCCTCTTACAGAAGCCCTGAAAATACTTTCTACTGTATGTATGGTAGGCTCCCAATGGCACTCCCTGGGTTTTTAAGCTCAGAATATTTTGCTTAATGTGAAGAATATAATTAAGACTGGATATTATAGATTGGTACTGTATGTAGAAGGGTAAAATAAAATTTACAGAAGCCACCTATTAGGGTGGCAAGCAAGTAATTGGATGAGCTGAGAAATATGTTATTCTTTTAATATACATGGTTATTAGCACATTATAAGGCGCCCTGGTAAATCTATTCCCACATTCTGTATTGATTTATTTTAATAGCAAATTGTAAACTACAGCAAAGAAAGAGAAGCTGGCCAGTCTAAATGATACACCAACGTTCACCGAAGACGTTACCTTTTTTGCTGCCTGTTCCTCTTCTACACCATCCCCAATAACAACATACACTACTTTTCTGCCAAACCTTTGCATTATGCGCTCAAAGCAACTCTCTTTTCCTGGAAGATAAACAAGGCAGAGTTCAGATTGACTTTACCTGGCTGGCTGCATGCTCTTCATCTCGCCCATCTCCAATGACAACATATGTAATGTTAGTGCCAAACCTGGACACTATACGCTCAAAACAGCTTTCTTTTCCTGAAAAACAATGCACCACTTAACCTTTCATCTGCACAGGCTGACATGAAGGAAGACAAGGGCAATATTCACATAACACTTAGGGTGATGAGAAAAACATATTTACATGTGATCAAGAAAAGAGCTGGGCCAATATGTAAGTCTGTGTGTCTTGCTTAACACTTAGGACCTTACCTTGTGTTCATATTTGAAACTTTACGACAAAATGGGCACAATATAAAGACAGATAGAAAAGAAACCCTGCTTCAAAGAGTATGGCCCCCTGCAGCTAAGAAAATAGTTACATTTAAGTTTCATTTCTGTTCAAAGATTAGATTCTCAAAAAAATCAATGTTACAGTATTAATAAAATCTAATGATTTAACATGAATTGTGACAAAATCCAGCTCTTTTCTCTGAAGAATTATCCCATCCATCCATGACTTGAAAATGGTTGCTCTACTTGATTTAGATTGATTTGAAATGGAACTTGTGCATGGTGATACTTAAACACCTCAGAGACACTTTAATAATGAGAGGCAGTAAATTAATAATTGAAAAGAATAGAATCATTTGTGTTTATAATGCATGTTGTGTTGGTAAATGCACATATGGGTATGTGCCTCTATTTTTGGACTACATGTTTCAAATTAAATATATTGGTTCTTAGTACGAGCTTAAACTATTTGGGGTTGTACAAAATGTTCTGTATACTGTACAATGGATGACTTCAAACCTACTGTATTCTCTACAAAGATGTGCCTGGCTTGTTAGTCTGTGATATTAATTTTCTATTTTAGGTGGTATATGGGCCAGATGTTGTTGGGCTGGAAAATTTACAAAATTAATATTAAGTGTGAATATGCTGGCAATCAACCTTTCCCATATGCCTGCTGTCCTGAACTGCTATTAACAAAACATTGTGTAATTGCATACAGGATGTAAAATACTTTGCAAAAGTATTCAGGCATTTCCTATGGTGTCCCATTTTGTGACATTGCAAAATGGTCCATAAACCTCTTATAAATTTAATATTTTCTTCAAAACATGAATACTCAAATTGAAGACTTGTAAGGGTAAGAAAAATTACAATAAATGTTACCAAAAACTACAGACCAATATTCATGTTCATGATTTTTAGGAAATCCTCTACCAACATTGCGCATCAGCTTGGTACAATTTATGCCTGTCTTTTTTGGCAGTTGCTTGGGGATTGCCTACAGTATGTACAGCAGTTTTTCAGCCTTTTCATAGATTCACCATAGATTTCATGTCAGAATTTTGACTGGGCCAGTCAAGGACATCCACTTTGTTATGTCTAAGCAGTGTAGCTTTGACCTTTTTATGACCATTTGAACTCTGGATCACTGTCCTACTGACATGTGAATTTCTGTTCCAATTTTAGGTCTGAAACAGGTCTTCCTCTAAGATTTGCCAGTTCATTGCTCCCTCTATCTTTTTGTTATTTCTGTGTAAGTCCTGACAGATGTCCAAGTCTCTGCTGATGAGAAGCAGGACTATAACAATACTGCTTAACAATAATAGGAACAGTAGGAATAGCGTTGACTGAGGGATGCTCTATGTTGGATTTGAAGCAATAATAATAATAATAATAAGAAGAAGAAGAAGAAGAAGAAGAAGAAGAAGAAGAAGAAGAAGAAGAAGAAGAAGAAGATCACTTTAATAGTCAAATACAATTTCTTGCATGAGGAAATAGTCTTTTCACATACCCCAACTTGCTCTCCATGAGACACACAAGACAGGGAGAGAAGCTTGGGGTCAGAGCACAGGGTCAGTCATTTATATGGCGCCCCAGGAGCAGTTGGGGTTAAGGGCCTTGCTCAGGGGCCCAATGGAGTAGGATTCCTCTGCCAGGCGCGGGATACAAACCGGCGCAGATCCTTAGCCACAGAGCCATTGCAACCCTAAACGCTTTGTATTTATACTAGAAAGCTACAGTTGCATTTTGTCTGACCACAAAAGTGATTGCCTCACCTACTGAAGGTGCTTTGATGCTGGATTTTCAATACAAGCCTATTTATGCTGTGTGGACAATTTTCAGTTTTGAAAGATATCCTGTTCTATACAGTGTCTGGGTGATCAACTTCACCATTCTCAAAGAGAAAGGGTCTGTGAAATGTTTTATAACCTTTTCCTGATCTGTGCCATTATACAATGTTATTCATGTATTCATGTACAGTTGTTCTGAGAGCATGTTGATCTTAATGGGTGAATCTTTGCTTGAAATTCCCTACCTGCCTGAGGGATCTTACAGAGAAAGGGGTATTTATACTGAAATCATGCTAACTACTATTAGGAAACACAGGCTTTGCAACAAATCGTGTAGCTCATTAAGGTAATTTAGTGCATGTTGATTTTTTGCATGAATTTAGATTTCCCACAGAAAACTATTTGAACACTTAAGCAATCATAACTATTCCAGTTCTCTTCCATATTATTTCTTTTTATTTTTTGCTTTAAATGCGTGGAGTACGTTGTGTATATAACAAATATTAATTTCTACTTTACCGTGTCATGATTGCAAGCTTTAAAGCAGCAAATTGTGAAAACTGTGCAACTGTCTGAATGCTTTTGCAAGCCACAGTATTTGTAAAATGTCGGCCTGGAACCATCTCCTAAGAATAAAAGGACACTAAGACAATTTGTGAGTAAAGAGAAAAATGGTCTACTTAAAACATGCCCCATGTACTTCTTTAATAATATATTTTATTACATTACTGAATCAACTAAAGAATATGTCTTGCATTAAATTGAGAGACATTTATATAGGCCAACCACATAATGACTGAACTCCAGCCAATGGTTTCATTTAAAGACATTTCTCTTCTAGGAATACGACTAGAAATCATTGTGCTGAATAACGTCAGAGAAAAACATTGTGAAGCCTAAACATAAAAACCCATAAAACAAAATAAACTTCTTACCTATTTTTGTAGCACTATAAATGTTTTCAATGGGAAACACAGCACCTAGACTATATAAAAGTACTTTTGCAAGTGCTGGTATAAGTTGCGTCGTTGTTACCAGTACGTTCACACAGTTACTTCTGGAAACAAATAAGAGATATTAATTACTTATTTTACAGAGGTGAGTCTCCCTAAAAACAGAACATTTTAATTTACCTGGCATTATTATTAATATATTCAAGGTGTTGGTCATAACCCATCTATCAGTTTAAAAAGGAGGGAAACGGAAAAACACACTATGTAATCATTTCAAGTGTTTTTTTTTACTTTATCAGGTTTTACTTTATCATACGCCTTCAAGGAAGTATTTTCCAAAGTGAAATATTTTAAGAGTTCTTTAGATATGTTTATCTTTTCAGTTTTAATCTGTCTGCGTAATTAATGTAGGCACAGTTAATTTGAGGTTTTACCTTGAGCTGATGATAGACAATGATTTAAGTGCGTTAGTCAGCCAGGAATCTGTTAGAGCTTCCACCTCAGCTCTTAACTGCAGCCATGCATCTCTTTTGGCAGGTCCAAGCAGTCCTTCAAATGTGAAAAATACAGCACGATACAAGGGAGTCATTTACAAGGCTAGCAGGCACAATGGTAACTCTCCAGCTTCAATCCTTGGAGTACATAAGAAATTGCATTACTTTAGAAGATAAGGAACCTGGTACAGTTACTGAAGAACTCAGAATAGAGAAAATATCTAATGTTTTGACATTGTGCAAACTGCATATTTGTAATACAAGTTTTTAAAATCTGGTTTTGTAATGGGTCATGACTCACACATCTGAATTGTTAATCTTAAAAATTCATACTGGATATAAATGCATACTGTATATCTGAAGGACCTCTCTGTGGCTTATCATTGCTAAAATACAAGACACAGCATTATATATAGATATGGAGTGACAATAAATGGTCCCCTGTGCTTTCCCCTAAAAGAAGAGTTGAACTCTCAGAACTATGCCCTGACCAAAGCTAGCACTGCAACTTAAAGCCAAAACCACAATACTAAGCCAGTGGCCCAAATAACAGAATATTAGGACAAAGTCAACCCCAATTAATACTGATTCTTTAAAAGGCACAGCTATGAGGATTTCATTTCTCCATTGTTGCTACAACAAACACACAGGCTTACCCCCAACATTGTTTTTGTATGTGCTATACAACTCTTTTACTCTTCGGTAGCGAAATGCCAACTTCCTCATCCAGTCCACCCCTCCTCTCACTCCTGTGGCCAGACAGAGGTTTGCACTTGTTGCAGCTGCATGGAAGCCATCAGTTGCAAAACTGTAAGTACTGTCAATAATAATGATATATTTTATTTTAATGTTGTTAGGTTTAATGTATCTATATCACTCTCTTTCCTATGAACTAAAAATTGTAATTCAAGGGAATTCTTTGCAGCTTTTAAATTGATACACTGGTATGTAAAGTACATGGGTATTTTCAAAGACATTCGTTTCATTTAGGCTATTTCCAGTAAAAATTATGTTCTTAAAGCACACAGAATACATGAACACATTTCTTTTTTATTTTTTTTTCTATTGTAATCAATAGGCTACACCTTTTATTAATGTCATAGTAGAGTAACAACAGTACATAAGCAGACATGCTACAGTAACATAGTCTTACCTTAAGTCTTGTCCATTGTCATCAGATGAAACATCATCTATGTGAACTTGATCACATTCCTACAAAAGGTACAAATTGGTGATTCCCTTATCTCACGAGCTTGGAATTTAAATTTGACTAATATCTTGTCTGAATAACTGAAATGACCTGTGACTGAACTGACTTACCCAAACACTTTGTGCTACTCTACACATGCTGGTACTGGACCAGACAGGGGCAGTAGAAGCACACCAAGACAGAGCACTGCTGCTGGCAATATGAACAGACCAAGCACAGGCAGGAACACATCTTACCAGAAATCCACTTTTCAGCTAAGCTTGCTAGTAGAGCTTAATAGATACTTGGTAGAAACTAACTTGGTAGATCTTTGAAAAAAAAGGTTTTTATATATAAAAGAATTTCACTCATTTACTTTCATATCACAAAATGAACAGCAATGACAAAATGAAATGAGTGGCAACAACAATATAGATTTTATAAAACCGTCTTTGAATGTTTCAGTCAACACACTGGAACACGAAGTGCAGTCTGGTTTGTAAACGAAGGTTTTGTTTTTGCTCCTGTATCACACTCAGCTAATCTTTAAATAAGGGCAATATTCAATATCCTTGACTGGTCATGTTTCATTTACACAGGCATGCAGTGATGAGGTATTCATGAAAAGAATGACAGCCAGGCACTGGCTATTGTTCAGAAAGCCTTGCAGAAGTATAAGTAGCAGAGAGGTACTGTACTTGGAGAGTTTCTTGGCAGAGGAACAATGATAAAGGTCTAACAATGTGTTGTACTTCAGACAGAAACAATATAAGAGAATAAAAAAAATCTTAAGAATGACAGCAGACCATCCATTAATATCACCCAGGTGCTAATATAGGGATCATATAACTTTATGTCTGTAATTTAAAACAATACAGATTTGAATGAAATAAATAATTAACAATACCTGCAATGTCAACATTACATTTCACAGAAATCAGGCTACCAAACTCACTGATGTTTAGAGCACCAGATGTATTTCTGTGAACAACCATGCCTGGTTTCAGGATCTCTAGACTAGTACCCAGTCAGTTAAGAGCCCAAATTACCACACATTGCACAATGAAAGGAAAGAGGTGTACAAATCACTCTGCAAGGTGAAACAGTAACAGCTCCAGATGCAGAAAGGTGATGTAACCAATCTGAAATTTTGAGCTACAGTAAGTAATTGAATGGCCTTAAAGTCCAAACTAATTTAATGGACTAGTGTGCAGGAATATGTTCTGTGTGCTGTGATACTTTCAGAAAATATTTCAAGTACTGTAGGTGGAAGTGCCAGTGAAGTACAGATGTGTTGGAATTCAGGGCTCCTTTTCAGCACCCAAAGAAATCAGAAAACACACTTCAAAGGAGCACTTAAAATATTGAATTGCATTGTTGAAATAAAAAAAAATATTTTCCTTTCTCAAGACATTTTCATCAGTTGAGCAAATGAATGGTGTTTTGGTAAGTAAATGATTCAAAAAGAGCACTTTAATACTGTATTTTCTTATTTAGTAGATGTGTGAAAAGAGCATATGGTTGTATTGTTGTATATTGTATGAATTATTAGAATCCGGTAAAACCGAAATATATCATTTTAACACGTCACTGAAAGATATTCTAAGCCAAGTTCAAATTAAGCAACAAATGACTTTTTGTTGACATTCCATTTCACGGAACAGAAAAATGATATGAGAAAGAACTGAATGAGCAAAAATGTATTTTTGCTGCTGAAAATTAAAACTGTGGTGAATAAACTTGTATTAAAACTATTTCTCCTATCTCTTGTGTAATTGTAAGGCGTACAGTCTATTAACACCTATTTTTGCACTTTTTTATGCACTTTAAAAATGGTGCAGTTTAAAAATCTCACTCTTTGATGCTTTATTTCGTGTGTCCAAAATGGGTGAAATGTCTCGTGGTGACTAATTATGAAATCATTTCGCTGCCACAATTCATTATTAAATATTTAATTATTATGACAGAAGGAGATATTACTAATGCGGTCTTTCGGTAATATACTGTTTCAATGCCCCTTTTGTTATTTTTAATAGAACTAGTAGTAGTAATCTAACAGGGTCACAAAGTATGTGTTTACATTTCACAGAAGGAGAAAGCATTTCAAAACTCCTGAATAACCAGGAAAACAATTAGAAATTTCTAATAGGCTGGAAAGCAAATAACAGAATCAGAGTTCCTACCTCTAAGTCATTAAAAAATAAGTGTGTGTCAGCCAGGTTGAAGATCATTTCTTCCATCCGTAAGCCAAGGGTCACAGCCATAGGAGGATCCTAAAAAATAATAATATATAAACTTATATCTTCTATTCATTTTCTGGCTGCTTCTTCCAATTCAGGGTTACAGAGCCTGCAGTATCTCAGCAAGCCATGGGTACAAGGCAGGATACACCCTGGACAGGACACCAGTCCATTGTATATAATCATATATACAGTAACTCTTACAATAACATTTTATTTCCTCAGTCATAAGGATTTTAATATTTTTAATATGTGCTTGCCTGACACATATTTCAGAACTGTCACATCCCTGCAAAGTAATTTTGTCCAATACACTGCGCTGCATGAATTAAAATCAAAATGCTTTTGCATCATAAACAAACTGAAAATATACTTTTTTTCATTCTTCTAAATAATAAACATTTTCGCATAAAGGATCAAGCTGGCATTTAGTTCCCTTTGAAACGCATAATATTTGTATCCCACAAAACAACTCAGAAACTCACCGGTGTCCCACATTTAAACATTAATTTAATAGATATACCTCTAAGCAGACTGAAGACATTATTAAGACAGAATTGCCTGAAACGTCTATGCAGGACAGATATGTATGGTACTGTATGTGCATATCATATACTGTATAGCTGTTCCATAAATCTGTGAGAAAGCATTTTGTTGTAGGATTTCTAGAAGGTGAATCAACGTGAACACTTTGTAATGAGCTACAGCTTACATGTTTTAAATAATACAATGATAACTGTAAGCATCAACAGCTTTTCCAGTATGACACTACTTTGAAAACTCAAGATAACATTTCAAAACAGGAAAATCAATGTCAGCTACACGTCTGTTCAATACTTATATAAATGTTTTACTGAAGCTGTTAAAACCCTTATTTCCACTGTATTCTAATGAAACTTTGCTCTGGCAATAGTGTACAAAGTCTAAAAGCCCAGAGTATTTGTGCGCATATGTAAATAGATAAAATCTGTAAAGAAAAAGGAAATCTGTTAATGAGTTTGTCAGAAACAAAGTTTGCCTTTTCTTGTTTTTGATGTGAGAATAAATATGCATTACACTACACTACACTACACATACACTAATCTAAATATTTTTTTTAAATGCTATTTTCAACCATGCTTAAACAACAGTACAATATTTTACATAAAATTATATAGACTACTATATTATGTGTTAGGTTATTTGTACATTTTTATGAATTAGTCATAAAACCTGCCATTATAGATTATTGTAATGAATTTGAAGTATGTCCTGTACTACACTTTAAGTTTAAGCAAATAATTGACTCGAATCGAATAAAAAGCACACTGTAGAACCAGTCTATAATATAGACAATGTAAAACATAGACAGGTAATATTTTGGCAGCGGCAGTGTTTTATATTTGTCATATCATGCAGTATATGACATGGACATTTCATGGACATGAAGACCAGAGACCAGAATTCCTTCTTTAGTGAATGCTTTACTAAAAAACTGTGATTAAACTGTCAAATACACAAATTGTAATGCTGCAGTAAGAAATTGCAATTAAACTGCCACAAGTCTTAATGTTGTACTAAGAAACTGTAATTAAATTGTCACATTAAAGTTGTTAAAAAGCTACTGTCACCTCCGACAAATCAAGCATCCTGCTATGGCTCATGCATACGTATCAGTATTGTGTGCTCTGACAGCATGTTTAAGACAAGCTCAAATAAAACAGCTTTGCACTGAATATCCAAACCTGCACAAGATCATTTTGAAAAGAAAATGTAAAACTCCAGAGACAGCTGCAGACGGCCAGTTAAATAGGTTAAAATATTAAATTACAAGTATGGTGTTTTAGCACCAATCCCTTTCTTAATGGAAATCCATTTATTATACCTAATGCAGACATTTAACTCAAACAATATTGCCAATGGTAGCACTGGTATGTACCAATAATCTAAGCAGATGATGACAGACAGCTCACACATGTCCTGTCACATCAACAAACCCTTATTTAAGGGTTCAGCATTTCAGAAAATTCTGCATGCCAACTGGTGCTCAGCTGCAAAAACCATCATCTGCGATAGGTCACAACAGGTCAGATGCCTCGCCTCATGATTTGCTGCAATAGTCAGAGACCCAGAATAGAAAAGCTCTATTGCCTTTCTGGTGTTCTGAGGCTTCAAGCAAGTTTTCAAACAAATGGGTTTATGTTTAAGTCACTTTCAATTTCTTTTTCGGGAACAGCATTTAAAAACACAACAAAAGCTATAAGTTCCAACACATTTTTATGGTGTTCTTCCCTTAGGATTTATTTGTCAAGTCATTCTAGAAGACTCTGTTATATATGTGTGGGCAATTCATTTAGTGATATGGTTTATTGCTGATTATTAATTTGATTGAGAGTAAAGAGTATAAAATAAGGATGAGTATAAAAGATATAGTCAGAAATAAAATCCTATAATTTTCTTTACATCCCTGTATAATGCATTTATTTGCATGGATAGTCATTATGAGTAATATATTTGAAAAAATAATGTAAAGACATTTAACACAGAAAAAAATTGTATATATATTATGAAAAATATAAGAGTATATACAGTATCTTTTTAAGATTTCAGATCAAACTTCAGATGTAAAAACATTATTTTAAAATAAAACTTAGCCCTTGTATGCAAGGCTTTGATCAATGTAAAACTGTGCTCTTTAAAGCCCGAAGTCCACATTTTGTCTTGTGCCAAGTGAAAAGTTGTGAAAAGCTCAAACTAATGGATTTTAAGTGAAACTAATATTGCATGACTTGTCTTATAACAGCATTTGCTCCATTTATGGCTGTTATAATTAATTGAGTTAATTAAGCTTCTTCTATCTTCTTAAGAGTTCTTCTTTTGCACATCATTTACTTACGCATGTTTTCATATCATCTTATGACTAATGAAGCAAATGAAATTTCTAAGTGTGCAAAACGTGAACAGCCCAGATTAAAATAATTTGGGAGTACATACCAAAGAAACCTATTAGAACTTGATGGTGGTGGTCACCATAGCGATGGCATAAATAGACTAGAAGAGCTCACCCATGCTGTGAATAGAAACAGCTGTCACTATATTTCTTAAGGGCAGAAAGAGGGAAACAAGTGAAGGTGTGAAAAGAAACAGGACCCGGGATTACGTTTTTAAAAGTTAGGTTTTAGTTCCACACAGCACATTATACACAAGTATAAGTGTATGAAGGTGCTACACCTTCACTTTCTCCTGGCTTACAACTCCAACACAGTGAATAAACAATAAACACATGGGTAAACTTGGTTAGGTTGTTAAAAAAATGAAAATTACTTGCTGGATTTGGAAATATATTAAAGTGGATGTGGACGTTTAAAAAACAATCATGCTAAATAAGGCAAAATTAATTTTCAATGCTGAATTTTTCAAACTGGCTGAAACAAGAGACTAAATGGGTCCGGTTGTGAATTAAAAATGAAAGCAGTCTGCACTTTTTCTGAAAATGTGTTTTTGTCAGATGAACAAAACACTACAGTAACAAGAAAAAAATTCTAACTTGTTGTGTCATATTGCTCCTTTTGACCTATATTAACAACTAAGAAGAGGGTGGTGATATCGTTTTCTTGGACTCTTGGACATACTTTGCTTTGCAAGTTTATTGTCTTGGCTGATCCTGTACTTTCCTTAACAGAAAATGTGAGTTGTTCATGTTTTCAAGTGTGACAAGCTGACACCCCTGATGAGCTCATCTGCCATTTTAAGCACTTTTTTAATCCAGTGTGTAGCAATGAAGTCACTAAGCTACCCCAGTAGCAGTCAAATGCCAAAAATGAATTAACTATCAGTACTAGGGGGCGATGAGTTCATCAATAATCACCGTAGGAGGAACGTGCCGTTAAAATGCATGTTTGACCTGAATCTAAACTCCATCTGTAATCCGCAAGCTGTTTATTCCTGGTAATAGGTCGCAGCAACATAGAGCTTATGCCACAAGCACAGGCTGCAAGACCTACTCTAGACGGATTTCCAGTATTGACCTTTTTCAGTCACCTTTTCTTCCACAAAATCTTGTTTTTATTTATGTTAAAATATATTTCACAGTTTAGGTTAATGTGTCAAAAGGCCTGAAAGCTGTACACATACATGAACTGTTTATATGTACTGCTTGTCTGTTCATAGACCACAGCGTGAAAAGACACCCTGCAAAAATATAACTTGATGAAACCGACAGTTGGCAATTTCAAATGTGAAAAACAGTAACAATCTTTATTAATAAACTGGCAGCTTTTATCTGTGGCACTATTCACCTCTGACAAGAACAGGTAATGTGAATTATGTAAAAGTAAAACCATGTAACTACCAAAAATGTCCTTGATTCCAGACAGAGTTGACCGAGGTCCAGTGTTCACCAAATCTAACACCAGAGGCCTGCTCATATGTCTGTGGAAGTTTATACAGACAAAGTATCCAGTACTGGTGGTCACATTATAATGAAAATGTTTATAATAACCTTTGGGTCAAGTGCAAGATTTAGATAAGAGGATTACAACAGATTCCTGTTTTAATAGATATTGTGAAAGAAGTTCCCAAGACACAGTCTCTAGTAGCCCTATGAATCAGAAGCCAAATTACCATGACCTAGTGTACTTTTATAATATTTTTAATGATCTTCTGTTGAAATTAATCATGACATTTTTTAGGCTATGAGCAATTACGAGAATGAGATATTTCCTTCTCCCATTTCATAATGTTCATTATTTTGCTTAGGATGTAATACCATGTCAGCTAAAAATAAACTGGCAAAGGCATGAACATTTTTAGCTTAGTATGTAAGGAACGTTTTCTAAGCATAGTTCCACTATGCAGAAAATTAGTACAAATATAAATCAACAAATAAATATGTAGTGTTCCTAGTAACCAGGCAAGAGCTATCTTGTTTCTGCAGTACTGTACTGTACACCTGGCATGATTACAGACCAGCAAGTTGACAGGCAAAGTGTAATACTTCCAAACTCATAAACCAGGAGTGGAAAACAAATTTAAAAAAAATCTAAGCTCAAGTCCTAACTGTAGGTATATCTGCTTAGGCAAACATCAATGACAAAAACAATCATTTAGCTGAATGGCATTAACCTGTGAATCGGATGCAGTACTTAACACCTGTAAATATGACCACTGAGTTTTACAAATCACATATTTTGGCCAAACTACAACATAAAATAAAATAAAGCATTTAAAGAAAACAGTGCAAAGTAAAATGCCAATGAGAACTTCAGCATTAAAATCCCAGGACAGTCAATATCAACTTGATTTCTTTTCCTGAAATAACAATAATTTGCACATGTTCCCATTTGGTGATATTTTTGCACAAACGTAAATGAAGTGAAATTATAGAAGTGTTAGAAATATACATCTTATCAATGTCTGAAGCTTCCAAATGTCCCCTTTCTGTCTTTCTAATGTCTTTTGTAGAATAAAATTCAGCTAAGGTCAACAGAGATAAATAAAACAAAAGTTAAAATAAAGTAAGAATATTTCCCACAAGTAAGATACCACATTGTACAGAACACAGCTTTACTGAATGAAAATAATAAAATTATAAAGATACAGATTTTATTTTTGAAACAATTTTCTGAGTAAAATTTTTTTCTTCCCTATTGTTTACAATAAAACCAGTTGGTAAAGAATTAAGATCCCAGGTGACAATTATTATCAAATATTGAGTTTCACCCTCTTTCATTTCTCTGAATGTTTTCAGACTTCCTAACTACAACAGTAACCTGTCTGTTGCTACAGTATGTATAATAACAAACAAAATAACAATATACTATAGTTTAGTAAGAGGGTGAACTGTAGTGTATTGTAACAAATGTTACAATGAGCAATTTTAGCATCAGAAGCTAGATACATTCCTTTTAAAGTATTTTATGTTAAAAAGTACATCAATATTCAAAACTCTTTTGAGAAAAGCTCAAATGGTGAAGGTGTGGTTGAGTTCTAAGATCAGGGGTTCAAGACTGGGTCACTCTCCTCCAGTCAGCACTGAATCTCCAGTAGGGGTCTCTGGTGCTGGAGTCGTGTTAAAAGAGAAGTGTCTCAAAGGTGTGCAGGTCAGGGGAGTGTGCCTTCACTTCCTCAGTCTCCTCTGTGCTTGGTCTCAGGTCTCACACTTCCAAATCAGCAAATTATCCACAAAGACAATTGGTAATTCTATTTGTTTTTAAAAAAGGTCATTTCCAAATGTTTCAGAATAGGTGAGAGATTACAAAACATTTCTAGAATGTAAATGTACAATTAATAAGTGATTAAACATTTAAAAAAAAGAATGAACGTGGAGAGTTAAGCTGTTAGAGAGGATAAAGCTGTTAGCTGCACTTACGGTAGCAATACCATACTATACATCGACGCAGTCTATACCACCTTTTCATAGAAATTCTACCTTCTTTAAAATCGTATGTCATTTCTGCTGAAATTATTTTCATCATTGTGTAGCAAAAATGAGATTTAAATAGGATGTAATGAGTTTATCTATTAATTACATGAATTAAAATTGTGATTCATTTTAAAATGAATAGTTAGCCTCCCATTAGTAAAGCACTATGACCATAAATCTGATAGAAATCCTTATGCCTTTTAGTAATTTATTTTTTTATCTAAGAAGTCTGTCCAGAAACAGCTTATGTGCTACAGTGCATACAACAACAACAACAACTTTGAAATAAAGCCTAAATAAACCTTTTCTCCAAAACAAGAACATAAGAGAAGTTATAAACAGTTTGGTTCATTTGCTCGTTTGGTTGCTAGTAGTTTAATGATCCAAAAATTCCATCAATACATTTCTTTAGGGTTCCCACGGAGTCACCTTCAACCACATGACTAAGGAATTGATTTCAGACTTCCACAATCCTCTGTCTAAAGAAAAGCCTCCTGTTTTCTGTCTTTGATGCTCGTAAACTTAGTTTTCTCTTGGGTCCTTGCATTGCCTCTGATCTTGAAGTCCCCTGAGTCGACTTGGTCGATGCCTTTCAGGATTTTGAATAGCTCAATCAAGCCGCCATATAATCTTCTTCTTTTTCCAGGCTAAAAAAAATTGGTTTGCTTAGTCTATGACAATCCCTTCAGACCAGGAATCAGTACAGTCACTTTCCTCGGTGCTGCAGCCCTGCATTTTTAATGACCACAGAGAGTCAAGACCTCGGTTTTATGTCTCATCCAAAGGACGGTGCTTTTTTACAATATAGTGTCCCTGTCATTATACTGGGAATTAGTAACCCAGAATTCATTGTGAGCACCCCCTACTGGCCCACTAACACCTTTTCCTGCGGCAACCTTAGTTTTCCCCAGGAGGTTGTCGATCCAGGTACTGGCCAAGCTTACACCTGCGGAGTTTCAATGAGTTACCAGTTGTGAATTGCAGGGTGATATAGCTGCTGGCTATAGCTACTATATATCTATCGAAGGCAATGGTTTGAATCTCACACCTTACAGTACATCCTCACAGCTCCTTTGTAGTACCTCAAGAGCAGCAATATCTTTCTGGTAGTACGGAAACCAAAAGTGAACACAACATTCCAAATATGGTCTAATAAAATAAACCTTTTCCTAGATAAAGATGTTGGCTCATCACATAATAATGACTCATGCATATTATCATTTTAACATGACTGACTTAATTTAAATTCTACCTCACATCCAAGCATCTGACTGATCTTATTATTGAATCGCTGCATCTCTGTGTAGTTAAAAAAAAGTAAGAACTTAAGCTCTTCGATCTTTCTCATACTCTATATTGCCTTGGCATAAAGGAAATTGCACACTACTCCTTCCCCAAAATTTGTGTGTGCCAAAGGTAAATAAACAAATAATCCTGTTGCAGAATTCTCACACTAGACAAAAGAGAAACACAAACTCTGTTTTTCACCGATGGTCAAGAAAGGCCAGCACAAAAGCAAGCTCCCGTGTGTTCAGGTCTGAGTAGCATTTAATCCACATCTAATTAGCACACCCTTACTAATCATTAAGACTTGTTATAGTTTGAAAGAAGCCATTCAGTTTTTGTTTGCTGAAGAAATTATTACCAGAACAAACATGGAAAAAAAAACACTGAGATAGAAGGTCAGGGTCATGCTCATTCAGCAGATTCCCCAAGTGTACATATATTATTCCTACGGGGTTTAAAGTTATTTCAGAAAAACTGTTCCAGAGAAATAAGCACTTCACTCTGTGTTGCCAGCACACATGGACAATCCTTCCACGCAGCGAACTGGAGGGTTTAGAATCCAAATAAATAAAAGAACTCTGGTAGTCATAAGTGAAAATAACTTTGTCTGCTTGATTTATTTAGTGTCTTGGTTTTGAGGTAGTTTATAACATCGAAGCACAGCCATGACCTGTCATTAATCTTTCAAGGCTGTCAACTCAAAGTAGTCTCTTTCAACTTGGAAAAAAGGAATATAATGTCACAAACTTGGCTGCCATATGCTTTGCTTGCTGCCAGAAATACGTCACAACTGTGTAAAAGCACGTCGACACTGAAAAATGTAAGGCTTTTGAAAAAAAAAAGATACTAGCCATTTTTGTCCGAGAATGATTCATGAGTCACAGAAAAAAAGACATAAAGTGATATAAGACTACCATTCTTACCTTACCATACTTCTGTGCATAAGATCCAGTAAGAAGTGAATGAAATATGATGATAGTTTCATCTAAATCCCACACAAACACTCGCTAAAAAAAAAAGAAAGGAGAAACAGATTAATAATTGTTGTCACTACAAATGTTAAACTTCAGAAAAGGAATCTTCAGCAATAAAAGAAGAAAATGACGAAGGTTACATAAAAAACACTTTACTCTGTCTTGCTCATTTACCTAGTGGAAGCTAATTAAATCAATTCAGAGACGATTAGTAAGTGTGTGCTATATTACCAACACAAATGGAAGCATTACATACTTATATAAATATAAGTAATCATTAATTGTATTATAAACATGATCTGTATTTCAGAAGGAAAACTCTACAAGCTTAGAGGAATGTCCTAAACTCATGAAGTGAACCAAAGCGTGAAGTGAAAAAGGCAGAAGTACTTATAGATGCTTTTACATAGTTTCAAGCCATTGATGGATGTTTTAGTCTTTTAACAAAAGCCCTTTTTAGGTTTATTTTTTAGGGGGACTCTGAAAAGCCCCCGCCAGCGGGTCGGCATACTTCAAGGAGTTATCCATGAACCTGATTGCCTCTGCTCTCAGGGCTGCCTAAAAAGTTACTCAGTCACCCAGAGACAGTGTGCCAGATTTCTATAATCAGACGTGGAGTCTGCTAAAAGTCTCAGACTACAAAAGACAAATAGCCAGAATACCCTAAGTACTCCAGTGTGAAAGAACAATAGGACAAATTCCCCCACCACACCACTTGACTTGACAGCGAGTAAAACAGCAGCCACTTTGATTGCAAGATCTGTTTGCAAAACCATATAATAGGGAAACCTTACTGTAAATAATGGTGAGCATGAGAAATGGTCAATTTCAGCTCTCAGGATATGGAAGGTGTGAAGGAAGAATACATTTCTTAGCAAATGACTTCAACACCAGTCAAAGGGGAACGTGGGGAAATCAAGACCTCAAGAATGACTCCAGACGCACTTATTCAATTTCATGTACTGGGCGTACGTGTCTACTGTATGTGTGCTTACACATTCTTTGTCAATAAAGACTTCTGTTTTGAAAATACATCTACAAAATCCTATCATCAAAACCTTTATGCGTTGATTGGATGAGATTAATGTTGAATGAATCTTGTTATTTTCAGAGTAAATTCACCTCCAAATCGCTGTCAGGTGGGGGTGATGGATTGTTCTTCCTACCCCTTCCTCGTGCCTTTGACCCCGAGCTCCTGCACGTTCTGTCGTCCAGGTCTTTGATTGGTGTTGAGGGGCTCTGTACTGTATCAAAATCCCCTGTGACACAAGTCGTTCAGAAGACAAAAACAAACTATGTTGCAAATTGTTCTGAAAAACTATGGAGAGCAACCTTAATTGACAAACTCAAAAACATGAAAAAACATGAATACAAATGCTCGAATTCATTATGTTTGCACCATATCAGAATCTTCTGCTGGAATACATAGAGAATGAGCTAGGATCCCCCATGTTTGATAAATTAAGACATCCTTATAAAAAATGAGGAAATGTTAAGTCTGCATGTACAGTACTCCATGAACATTGCTTTTCTTGAACCTGTCCAATTTTAAAGACATATCACCACACTGCACCATTTTAATACTGTTATGAAAGCTTAATGAGGGATCACCAAGTTACATAAATGTTTTTTACAAAGGATTATGACCTAATTGTTTGCTGTGTACACTATGTCAGTACAACTAAAAAGAAAATGATTTATTGAATCACTTTCAATAAATAGACATTAATGCTGAAGCTCAGAAAACTGTAACTAGAGGAGGATGAAAACAGGAAACCAAATTGTAATATACTTTAGAAAATGTATTTGGGATCCCCATGGCCCAGTGACCCCTCTCTTTTAAACTTCACTGTGCCTTTACTGTTGACCCATTCTTGACTACATCAAGATAACATTTCTACACTTTTTACACCAGTTACTCTTCTACTGATTTTTTTTTTTAATTTTCCTGTGCTCTCTTGGTCAACTTCCGAACCCCTTCGATATGTTTAACAGCAATTTGCGCAGCCGGGTAACTGGAAACAGACTGCAGTTCTTTAGATCACATGTTGTTATGTCTCAATCAGGAAAAATGGCTGAGCCGTAGAGTGGAAAAAGAACTAAAGTGTCTGTGATTGGAAAAGAATGATAAGCTTCCTTAATCAGAATTCTGAAAGCCTGCCAAGGAAAACTGGAAAAAAAAGAACTATTACATCCAGGAATGTTCCAGTTCCTGTGTAAGACTTTGATACTAGACTTGAAATACCTCCAATCACAGGTCTCCAACTTAACATAAATAAAGGATATTGAAAAAAGCGGCAACTTGAGGGGTGATGGGGATTGAGGGGGCAGGTGGGAGCTGTGGTGATCCGTGGCTCTGGGCTTCGGGAGTTGTGAAGGATTTTCATTCATAAAAATTGTTCTGTATTTTTTGGACATTCTTTAAATAAGTAAATTACAAAAATCTGGGTAGATGTGTGTTCCAAATGTTCCAATCAGAATGAACCATACTCTAATTCATTTCACATTAAAATGTCTTAGGATTAGTTAGGATAAACCCAAAAATACATTTTACTGTAACTAAGACAAAAACAAATGTCTATGTATCTTTTAAGACAAATTATCCATATATAGTGTTTTTGTACATATCCCAAAAAATTATAAGAGCTCAGACATGACTATATGAAATTCTATGATTCTGACTTTTTTATATGTCTGCATCTTAGTTGTTCTTGTTTTGTTTCAGCAGTAATGAAAGATTTTAGGTCCTTGAGTAATTGTAAAATATAAACTCTTCTGAACTCTGAACATAAAAGCTCTATATTCTGACAAATTCCTATTACAAGAAATTGTATATGGCCAATAAAGTGATCTTATCTTATATATATTTACTAGTATCTAAACCTCATATATTTGCATGGTTACATTTTAAAAAGGCTACTGATTTAGTTTCACAATATTCTGATATTCAATGTATTACCAATCACACATCACTTTGCACCATCTTGTCTCTATCTATTGATTGCTCTCCCAGATCAGTCTGTTTTATACTTATACTTGATATGGACTGAAGGGTACAGCAATTATTAAAGCATATATTTTGAAAGCGATTCATTTATTTTTCTTAGCCCAAAGTCATGTCCAGTCAGGAATATCCCTAACATGATGCATTCCACTCCACTGGCTCTGGAAAAGTGAAATATGCAATTTTAATATTGCATCACCGTGAAAGCATGAAAAATAGTTTTTGTTTCTTGTTACAAGAGTGGGGCTTACTGTATACTTAAATGACTGTAACATGTTTATATAAAACTCCTTTCACAACAACTTAACCAAATCAGTGTATCCAGCACACGCACAGGAACAGCAAGAAAACTTTAGAACAGCCAGAATCTTTAAAACATTCTGTTTACCTTTGCTTCTTCTGTAAATGGTCAGAATACGAGAAACAGATGTAAACATGTAAACAGATGTAAACATCTGTTTGTGGACATATGCAAAATCATCCAGAAAACTGTCAATGGTGCTAAAAGCCTGGCTGTCAACAGTAGACAGTGAGTACCAAACAGACCTGTGTGATCCCAGAATACCAAGGGAGGCACTACACATTAAGACCCCAACCCACAGATGGCCTGTATGCCACTTCAGCAAAATCCACCAGCTTAGATGAAACCTGGTGGCTTCAAATGAATGAATATTCAGACATATTTCTCTGTCTCCAAGCTCTGTGAGGTCATCCTGTAAGGGGTTATGGTGAAATCGGTCTACAAAAGTATACTGATAAAAGTGCAGTCAAGAAAGACAAAAGAAAAGTAAGTGAAAAGATTTTTAAAATACAGTTTTCAAATGCACCTCAGTGAAACACTTAAAAAAACTGACCAAATTGACTGTGCACCTCTGCTAAATATTATGTGATATTATATAACATGGATGACACAGTGGTGCAGTGGTTAGAGCCCTGGGTTCAATTTCTGACCCAGGATAATACCTCTGTGGTGTTTGTATAGGTTTTTGCTTGGTGCTCCAGTTTCCTCCCGCAGTCCAAAGACATACTGGCTTATAGGAAAACTGGCCCTGGTGAGAATGTGTGTGTTTCTCCATGTGTCTGCCCTGTGATGGACTCCAAGCTTGATTCTAAATTGGATAAAGCAATGAGAAAATGGTCGTATTGCATATCATTTCAACACAGTTAGGAACTATATTGTAAACTTCTATTTTGTTTACGTACCACAACACCTTCGGCTCTTTTTATCCTCACTAACGTCCAGGCCCTTTAATATACATTATATCCTGTTACATGTGCCTCACTATCTTTTACTGAAGCCAAAAATGAAGGTGTTGCTAAATTTGAAAAGCAAAGTTGATGATGGAAAGCGTAGCTGCACCATGGGTTGAAGACAGGAAGCCTGATGGACAACAAGGTAAGGAAATGACAATGTTAAACCTTAGACCACAGATGACGGAGGTGTCTCTTTGGGTCTGTGACAGCAGTCAGGGACACTGGGACAGCAGAGACACACTGAACGAGGGGGCTTACTTGTGTGAAGTTCAGCAGCCTGACCTGTGAGAGCCGGGGGAGGGTCCTGCAGCTGATACGTGGACGAGGCCGAAGTTGTTCCGTCGGCTGTACTGTTGGAGGTCATGTAAGCACCATAGCTTGAGGTTGAATAGTACTGGGTGTATTGGTTTTGGCCAAAAGCTGTGTAGGAAGGATAATCCTGAAACAGCAGTGATCATTCTTTTCAGTAAAACAAGCCTTACAATCGTACTTTATACAAATGCTTTAAAAAGACAGCAGTGAATTAGTCATCTGTGAGAAAAAAGGTCTCCTGGATAACATCAAATGTCCTTGGTCTTTGAAGAAAAGTTTAAACAAAAGCTTTTTTAAATAACAATTTAGGTTCTTAACCTGGTTTTTATTGAATGTGCCATGATGCTTCTATTTTATTAGCATTCCATAAAACTGTCACTGAACTATCTCCAGGAGAGGGAATTAAAACAATAAAAGTCTCTTTAATGTCTGCAATTATTTTTTGGGAGGTCGGGTGGTTTTAAGCTAAATAACTTGAATTGAACAGCATGCTTAAAAGCAAGATGAAATTCAGCATTAGATTATTTAAGGATTAACTTTACATAAAAAAGCAAGTGACCAGAAACAATTTTATGATAAAATTGATTTAATGTACTGTACTTCCCTATCGAGTGTGACACTAAATTGTTAATGCAACTGAACTATTGCTTGACGTCCCAGTATGAATTCATGCAAATAAAAGACTCGGTGTATTCAAAAACATGAACTTTTTGAAAGGTCGGCCAAAATTAGAAAACAAAACTAATATTAAGTACCTGTTGTGAACTACTGAAGTTAGCTGAATTAGACACAGAATTGTTGCTTGCATAAATGCCAGATGAAGGTGTGAAACTGGAACCTGGGACAGAAAGGAACAGGGCTGTTAATACTCTGAGATGCATGAACACGGAATTAAAATATTCAGAAATTATACAGCCTTCTGTGTGCATTTGCAGACTTACTATGTCCTCTCACATTTCAAGTTTTAGTCCCATTTTACACTGATTCATTTCTGTAAAAGCTTAAATATGTCTTTTTAAACCAACTCACCTCCATCAGTGGACGTGGTTTGGCTTCCTTGAGTCCTCACAGGACAGACTCACGTTATCACAGACTTCGTTAAATTGTTTTATTTTGGGAGCAAACACGAGCATCCTGGATCTACTTGTGTTTTTCAGGGGCGGAACAAACTGAGACAGTTTTCAAAGAACGCTACTGACCTGGCATCTGATAGGAATAAGGTGTTTGGCCTGGCTGAGGAGTAGTGAACCCTGGGCTGTAGCTAAGACATCCTGTCTGTAAAGGTGACTGTGTCTGAGAGAGCCCTCCTTCAGTCTTGATGCCTGGCAACATTACACCCAAATCTGCATAAGAAATCAATGAATTAACTGACTCTTAGATAGTTACCTCAAGTGGAGAAGAAATCACAATATAAATGAGCACATTCAAAAATACCCCACACCAACGTGCCAAAACATACCATACGTGGAGAGTCCGTAAGGCTGCCCTGGCTGAGAGTAAGCAGTGTACACCGCTGGCTGCTGCATTCCAGTGTACTGGGTCTGCCCCGCATAGGCTGTCATTGACTGAGCTGCCGGTGTTGACAGAATGTGAGGGTATGGCCTGCAGGAGCAAGAACAACGCGGTCATGCCAGACTAAAGACCAGGGTGGGGAAGGGCTTGCCAGCAATCTGAAAGCCAAATCAAAAGCCTGCAGTGACAGAAAAACAGATTATCTTCTAACGCAAATATATCTGTTTTCCATTAAAATTCATTCCTGGCAGGATTCGGGTACACATCGTTAACGCTCTGTGTTGAGTGATCATGTTTGAACATCAGGACAGACTAAAAAGCTTGCTTGATTTCAGAATTTTTGGGGAAGGTTTTTTTTTTTCATTTAAAAACCACACACAATTTAAATTTGCAAATACTCTTTCCTACAGGCATTTCTGATGATTCTGCAGACTTGATGATAATGCTGAGATAAAGCAAGATTTCATATTAAAATGAAGGAATCTGTCATGGAGGAAAGGACATGAAAATGACAAGACAGTTTTGTATTTTATATTGCGTTTTGATCCCAATCAAGTCTTAAAACATGCGTTTTATGATCTTCTCTTTGCGATATATCTAAATGTGTAATAGGTTTATTCCATGATGAAAAGAGAAGAAAGAAAACACAATATTTCAGCTGTGGAGCCTTCTTTGCATTTGGTATAGAAAAAGGCTCCACAGCCGAAACGTTGCATTTCCTTTCTTCTCTTTTTAGCATGGAATTAACCTATTACTTGTTCCTTTGCAGCCTACACATGCTGACGCAGCTACCCACCTGAACTATCTAAATGTGTTAAGGTTTTACAGGCAGGTATTAAACTAAAAATGAACCTATGTGTGAAAATTTAATTTTAATTTTAATTTTTCTTATTACAATATTTAGCATGTTTATATTTTACTCTATATTTGGTAAATCAACTAATAAAGTGCCTCATCCCCTTCAAAGATAGGGAAGACTGTTCAAATTTTCAACTTCATGTACATCCACACATTTCTGTCGCCACCTGTGGCTGCCCTCATAATAAAATGATGATGGTCTAATGGTGAGCACATCCTGCTCTGATACTTGGACCTTGTTGTTGTCATTGAAATAATGCTCGTAAGAAGAAAATAACATAAGAACAGGTAACAAGATAATCTGGTAGTTAGCAGCTTATCAATCAAAGGACCAATTTCTCATTGGTTTCATCTCATCCAATTTCATCCAACCGTTGGCTGGGGAGCTTGTCCAATACCTCCACAACCCTATGCATAAAGAGGTGTCTTCTCTTTTTGGTTTTACATGTATTTCCAAGTGCACACCGAAGGTCACAGTCAGATGATGCCAAAAGGACATCATCTGCAAATAGCAGAGATGCCACCCTTAGTCCCCCCAACTGGACACCCTGACATCCTTGGCTACGCTTTGATATCCTGTCCATGAACACCACAAACAGGTGTGGTGACCAGACGCAACCCTGACAGAGTCCGATGCCCACAGTGAACAAATTTGACTTAATGCCAAGAATTCGGACACAGCTCTCACTGCGCAAAAATAACACGCAAAAGCGGTCCCGATACCCCATATTCCTGAAGCTCCTCCCACATCACATACCGAGAGACACGGTCATATGCCTTCTCCAAATCCCCAAAACACATGTAGACTGAAATCTGCTATTTGCAGATGATGTTGTTCTTTTGGCAACATCTGACTGTGATCGACGGCTTGCACTTGAGTGATTCGCTGCTGAGTGTGAAGTGGCTGGGACGAGAATCAGCACCTCCAAGACTGAGGTCATGGTTCCCTCCCAGAAAAGACCGGATGGCAGGAGTTGAGTTAAAAGACAAAGCTCTCGGTTTACGGGTCGATCTACGTCCCTGTCCTCACCTATGGTCATGAGCTGTGGGTAATGACTGAAAGAACGAGATCTCGGATACAAGCGGCAGAAATGAGGTTTCTCCGCAGGGCTGCTGGGCTGGGTGACAGGGTGCTCGGCAATCAGAGCCTCAGAGTAGAGTTGCTGCTCCTCCAGATAGAGAGAATTGGATATCTCATTAGGATGCCCCCCAGATGGCTTCAGCTGGAGCTGTTCTGGGCACGTCCCACTGGGCTCGAGACCCCCTGGCAGACCCAGGACACACTGGAGGGATTATATCTCTCGGCTGGCCTGGGATCACCTGGGGATCCCCCAGGAAGAGATGGAATCTGTTGCTGGGGACAGGGAAGTCTGGGCTGATCTACTCAGCTTGCTGCAGCCGCGACCATCACCAGGAAAAGCGGAGTGAAAATGGATGGATGGATGGATTTCCATTTTGTTTCTATGTGTGACTCCTGCCCTCTGAGAGCTTTCTTCATTGGGCGGCACATATTTGCATGCAATTTCCTTCATGGGATCAATAAAGTATCTATCTAAAATGTAATTGTGAGAGGTCCCGACAGTCGGATGAGTGAGGAACAGTTCAAAACCAACCAGGTACTTTATTGTAACTTTTGCATGCTTGCAGTGTCATGTTACAGAATGAGCCAGTGATGAGAATTCATTCATCTTAATTTCCTGGGCACTTGACATGATGTATTTCAGGTGTTTAATTCTAGTTTTGTAATAATGAGCAAATGCTTCTGCTTGTATCAGTGGCTGTGACAGCGACAGAAAAATGACATGACTAGAGAAGTCACGTCTTTTTGTGTTGCTCAGTAAGCATTTCTGGCATCCACCTAGACCATACTCCAGGAACACCCAGACATGTGTGAATTCTGGTGTTCAATGTACCATGCTGGCACCAACTATGGCAGCTATGTTGTTACTGACATACTTGTCTTTGCGCATCAGCAGTGGTAACACTGTTTCCTGTGTCACCAGAAACTAGTCGCTCAGGCCTTTGATCAGAGAAAACACGAATCCATCATTTTTCAAAGTGTTCATGCACTTTTTATAATTTCTTAATATACTGTGTAGTCACTAGAGAGGGGTGGGACACAAATACCCTCTACCGACCAACATCCCGATGTCTCCTCACTGCTCTATAATGGTAAGCTCTTGCAATGGAGCAGCCATCTTTACAACATGGTTTCTCGTGCCACACAGATGGAAGCTGGGGACTCAGTGTTCAAAAAGTAACTCCTAAAAGCAACTTCAGTATCATAGAAAATAAAAGCATATTCCACATGTGCAATATCAGTAACAGAAACAGTAAAATTCACTTTATTTATTAACTTACCCCTGAGAAAACAAATATATTATTTTATTCTGAAGACCAGTTAGTGATTAACTTACTTGGAAGGGTATATGGGTGGAGAATATTGATGTGCAGATCTGGGACTGTAACCACTGCTTGTTATTACTGTAAAGAAAGTAACACAGTAAAAAAAGTAAGTCACACTGAAAAATAAGCAAATAATAAAAATAATATATAATAATACAAGTACAATTCCAACAATCAGCATTTACCAATGTATGCTTTTGTTTCTTTCATCCAGACTCATTATTGTTCAGTTAAAAATAAAACTTTTCAAATGTCTTGAAGCCTTTCTGGAATCCTAAGAGAGCATAATATTTTATGATAGGACTGCCACTGTTCAACAACATGTCTGTAATTTTAAAACCACCCATAAAAGATATAGAACCTTTATATCACAACTTTCTGCTTGTCTGTTGCATGCTTCGTTCAGCTGCAGAACAGTATGGAGAAAGGATTTGGGAAAGTAATTCTTTTTTTTTTTTTACAGTTGCTACCTACCTATCAGTACAGAAAGATTCTATGCACATTATACTTACACTTGGTTTTCCAATAAAGCCCTAGCCCAATTGGAACAAATCCAAAAGTTTGAATACTTTCCTTCTCTTTCAGCCATTTGCCTTGACTAAGACGGATGTACAGCATATACAAATTTTACAAACTTGAAAGTGTTGAACCAGTCCCATCAGAGCAGATCCAGACTGGGCAAGGATACAGTGTGTCTTTATTAGCCCATCTGCTATTCATTCACTGTTTGAAAGATTAAAGAACTACATTATGTAGCACAGGAATTGCACTCTCCTAATCAATCACACTGCTACTTCAAAGCCCGCAATACCTCCGTTATTCATTATCCCATTGGAAGCCAAATTCTTTTTTTATCAAATTTTACAAGTGATATATAACTAGATGTATAAAGCAATTATGAGCAATGTGATTTTTTCAATTCTTTTTTTGTTGTTTTTCATTTAAAGCTGAACGGCAGACCCAACGGCCAGTACTGGTTTCCCCATTACTCATAGTTTTCAGGTTCATCTCCAGCATTATTAGTTTCAGCTCTCTGTATAACACTGATCTCCATATCATAGGGATAAATAGAAAACTGTATTCTGCTGTGTATTGTAAGAAAAAGCCATTGTTTTAAGAAGCATCTGCTGACAATCTTTCAGAATAAGGGTGTTTGGCTCTTTACATGACGACACACATCCAACAGTCTGGTGATAGTAGGCAACAAATCTTGGTACAAAGGACACCACACAATGAGGGGCACAATCTTTTTCAAGATACGCTGTATATCTATGTACTACTAATACTAGATTTTCTAAACAAAATTTGATGTTGCAATTAATAGTCACAATAATGTATGACTATTAATTTAGATTTCTGATATGATTTAAAGAACTATTTATACAGCTGAGCAAATGTGTGAGCAAATGTTAGGGAATGGACCAGAGGATGCAAGGTTAAAAAGTGGAGTGGCAGAACGGTGTATAAACCAGATTTGTGTGAAAAACCGTATAATTTCCAGTTTCACAAAAGACCACCAGAAATTAGTGTCAGGAAGGACTGATAGGTTACGTGTGCAGTTTATTAAAGATCCAGGTACACACTTGCCCCACCTGGGCTCAGCCTTGCATGTATAATTTTTAAATGAAACCTAGTTAAGGAGATTGTGAAACATTAGAGTTCGATCAACACTGATGGCCGTTAAAGCGATGCAAGATAGTAAAACAAATGACACACTGGCACTCTAACATGGAAAATAAAGAGAATAAAGCACACATCAATGCAAAGGATGGAATAATGTAGATACAATAAACAACTCCATCGAACTTTAGATCCATGTATATCAAACTTAGAAACGGTTCTCAGGCAACTGATCTGTGTCAACTGTCAACTCTGTGCTCCAGCTCCTCGTAACCAAATCCATCTCCTCAATTTGTAATTTACAGATTTCAAATTATTACAAGTAAAGAGTGAGACAGTGTTTTGATTCAATAACCATTACAAAATAAATGCATTATTTTCTTTACATGGAGTGGGAAGACTATACAAAACTGTTCAAATAACAGAATTAAAAATGTGCTTACCATTACATGTGATTTTCACTTCTTTTAATCTACTAACAGCCATTAAAGATGAGTATTGGACCTTCTGCATTTGAACAGTTACAAATGATAGGCCATTAAGCCCATCTGCATTTTTTAAATCGAGGGTCTGATAGATCGTGTGTCATTGTTGGGTTTTTAATTTTTTTTAATGAAAGCTGATGCAACCAGCTAACACTATTTTAGTTTTTGCTTGATAGTGTGGAAACCACTATTTCCACAGTATTTAACCCAGATCAGCCTTGTAGACACATATATTTGTTTTAGATTTAAAAATGCAACTGTTTTTCCGAAAGTAAATGCTAAACAACTGGTACTGATAAAAGAATGTTTACCCTTACTTCAGCTACTGTTCAAATTAAATTACTTTGAAATAAATCGTATTTGCCCTTGTGTTCTTAATATAGAAGGCTAAATTACAGATTAGTCCACTGTCGAAATTCGCTCATTTGCATAGAAGTGAATATTAAGGGATGTCCTGAGATCACATCATCTACCCAGATCCTCTCTTTCCCCAGGAGTCAGCTGGAAAGACTGTAATTCTAAAGGATTTCCTAGCTCTACAAAGTTCAGACATCAAAGATGTAAACTCTCTGCTTTCTAATCCAATATCACTACGTTTCCATTGCAGGGATTTAAAACAAGAAGACTGCTAAAAATCGAGACCTATATGACAAATATGCTTTACAGACAACAACAAAATAACATGAAACTTGTAAGGTTGTTAGAAACTGACTGATCCTAGGGTCTAATCCAATCTTTACCTGGAAGACACCAGGTTATCATCTTTAACAAAACTGGGCTTCTTGTTTCAGACTTCCACTGCCCTTGAAAAACGTTTTTTCCTTTCTCAGCTTTAAATGCTCTTTTGAAAATGAATATATTTTAAACCTACATTTTTATGTTTGCACCATTAATAAATGATTTGTTTCTGCATTACAGTGACACAAAAATTAAAAAACTATCAAATTTAATAGTAGAAAACGAATGAAAAAAGAGCACAAAATGTTTTATGATAGGACGGGGTAAACGTTTAAAGTGCATGGCTATCTTTTAGGCAGACATGTCTGACAATCTCATTACTTAGGAAAACAACAATCTTTTTGTATTCAAAACATAACAGATCTCAACTGATTTTTTAACACAACTGTACAGTACACGACCATCCACTGTTACATTAGCTCAAATCTACCACTGAAATGTAAATACAGTATGTTCACATTTGAACTTGCCTTATATATACATTTTACTACAATATTTAATTAAAGACTTACAAAGGCAAACCTACCCTCATCATTTAACAAAAAATTAATATAAAAATATATAATTAAATGCATTCAAATATTCAATTACTTAAAATGTACCTATTTTTAAATATTTCTCATCTGTGAAAAGATTCACAAATGACATTTGAGACAGTAACTCTCAATGAATTCTATTAGAGAGAAGAGAAGCACCCTAGAGAAAACTCAGTATGTGTGAAAAGACCAGGTTAAATCTTTGGTCTCTGTATGAGGCTGTATCCCTTTAAATTAAATGGCTCTTAGCGGTCTTCAGCATGTACAGGGCTTTCTAGACTTTATAATGCAGAAAGGAAAATTTTCTTCTTTCATGACAAAGCTCAAGTACAAAGGGATAGTATGAAAAGACCAACTGAATAACATAAGTAATGCCTGGACAAGGTAATCTACAAAACAATTAAAAAAGAAAACAGAAATCAATCATAATTTCCACATGAATGGTATTTTGAATGTAGAGAAAATTATACTCAGATGACTAAGAAAAAACTCTGGTCCCTGGCTTAGAAAAATAAATTCTGTACAGTTACACACTCATCTGTTATTAATACAATCTTACAGTATTGCCTCTGGAATATGCTGCCTGTCTTGATACTGTGCAATTCAGTCAGAAAATCTGTCAACATCTGTAACAGTTCTGTCTTTGGAAAACGAGCCTTGGTAACACCAGGTGGTCAAAAGACACTCTCTTCCTCTAAAAAAAACAACATTTTTTTCATTACTATTCAATATGTTCCATGGCACTATGATAAAGTCATACATCTACTTCTTTTGATGTATTTTGTAAGCATACTGTCAACGTAAAAGTGGAGATTACACACCAAAACCTTTCCAGTAAGGTGCCAAGTCTTAATCATTACAAAGACAGCTTCTTCACTTGTTTGAAGGCAGGGTGAAACAAAACAAAATCAACTCTATGTCTACGTTGAACCTTGGTATACTGTAAATATTTTGGAAGGTAGTACTGTATATTAGTTTTTAGGTCAACTGCACTATAGAAGAAATTAGAAAATGCTGTCTTCATTTTCTTCAATGCATCCTTAAAATGCTTTTTTCTAATATTAAATATACATTTGTGCTCCCTGATAACTGATGATCTTCAGGAATCCAAGAACATTTAAAATATTCAGATTCGATTGGTTCATCCAGCAGCCAAGTCTTAAATTTCACATGTAATTGGGACAAACATGTGGTCTATAATCCCCTTATCTAATTAAGGCAAACATACGTCTATAATTCCCTTGACGCTTTGAGATAGGACAGATTTTAAAGTTACCCCTAAAATGGGAGAATTTATTACATGAATTAACTATTAAATCCTTGCTAAACTGTATTTAAAATTACTGCAAGGTGGCATTCCAAATGCTATAAAAATAATGTATTTATTAATGCTTTTTACAAACCCCCAAATTTCTGTACAAAGACAATACAAAACAGAAGCACAAAGAGCAAGAAAGGAGAACTGCGAAGATTATTTATTACAGATTATGTTGATAGTCTAGAGTCGCCAATTATTGAGAGTCTCCAATAGCTTTGGCCAATAAGTCCCATGAGATGTGATGCTGCACCCTGTGTTGTGGCCTGGTCTTTGTCTACGTAAGAAGGCCAGAATCAGAAGATCTAAGACTAATGGACTCATACTGTATATTACTATTACTATTACTAATATTATTAGGTCCTGGAGCTAGACCATTATGTTCCTCAAACTCAGACAGAAGAACCTTAAACTCAACTCTAAATTTCACAGAGTCAGTGCAATTAGTTAGCAAATCAGGGACAGGATGGGAGTTAAGCTCTGATACAGAGTACATTTATTCAGGGCACAGGCTGCCGACCTCTGGACATACTGATACTAAAACATACTTTAGTACCTCAGTCAAGAGGTAACATAAATGCTAAAAAAATGATGGGTACCAGCAAAGAACTCGGTAAATTCAAAACAGCCAGGATTTATGAATCGGTTTCTGGCAGTCAAACAGGAGTTAAATCAACAAAAGGAAGTACAGTACTGGAGCTATGGTTTCTGAATAATGTGAACCAGTGGGATGTCATGATTGACAAAGTCAAAAGCTGCACTTAATTCATAAGGAAAAGGTCACTTAGTGATCTTGTGTCAGATTTTACACTATTTTAAAGAGACCTGCTTTTGTGCTGTGTCTGCCTAAACTCTGACTGAAAAAGTTTGAAGAGCTTATTAGTGACAAGTTACGATTACAACAGATCTGCAAATTAGTAATATATTTGTAGTGATGCATTTGCTTTCTTTTTAATAACAGATGTGGTAGAAGCAGACTTTTAGCATACTTTCAGCAAAAACAAGATTTTGGGGAATCATTGATGACGTTAGAAACAAATGGACAAAAAACTGAGGAGCTACAGTACATTTGAGGAAGGGGTGCAGGAATAGGGACAGTTTAGAAAGTCTCATTTTAGCTATCAGGGTAGATAGGCATCATTAACAGAAAAACTAATTTATGAAAGCAGGACAGGGCATAGTTGTCAAGGTTGCTACAGGTGGTCAGTAACTGGCTATTAATATTACATATTTGTTGTAAAATAACTGCATTTACAAGTTATTGCTCAGTATTGCTCAGTAGAGAAAGGAAATGCAGACATATTGTCTGTTTCACTTGTGTACTGGGGCAAAGAATGAGCAAAAGTAACAAGACGTTTAGAGTCACTGAAAAGAAACAGCAAAACAGACTGAGCTACATTAGGGTTTATGTCATCTCCTCCATCACACTAGTTGAATTAATCACATTGAATCTAGAGAAGGCCATGGTCACATTTAGTGGGCAATGAAGGGACTAGCAGGTCCAGTAAGACCACAGTTCAAGTGCTTGTAGGCTGGAAGTGTCAACACCATCAGAAAGGATTAAGTCTACTGTATGTCCATGTTTATGTGTGGGAATTTTGACCTGCTAAATAAAGCCAAAGCAATCCTATGCAGCTACAAAATCTGCAGTAATCCAGCAGGTAGGAGAATCCATGTGAACACTGAAATCGCCAAGAAGTAAAACAATTGTATAGCTTGGAAAAACAGTTAGCTGCTCTGATAGCTTAGTTAGAGAAAGTTTAAGAGGATGATAAACCAGAGCTGTTAACAATGGGTGAGATCCTTTAGTGGTAAAACACTAACTCTGGGCAGACATTATATTTAGACCAGCATTTAAGCAATCAATGATCTAAATCACAATTTTCAGTATACCTTTTTCCAACGGCAGTAACAGAGAGTAGAGATTTTAGCAAACGTCCATGTTTTGGGGAGACAGTTTAGACATTCAAAATCACAGCCATAGCCATCAGCTGAATGGCGACACCAATCGGACAATACAGCATTATTACTGGAGTGAATCTGAATCTATACTGTTTCCGATATGTATGCATTTAGTTATTTAGGGTACAACTGGTAGTTGCATCGCTGAAGCAGTCTAATTCTCAGCCAATAGCAAAACATGAGCTCCTTTTTCGTTATTTCTTTCTTTTTTGTCAACAATATAGCACAGTGCCAAAACTGTATAAATACATTCAAGAATTATTATTGTTTATTTTGTGAATCTATAGTTTAATCCCTACATGTTATTGTCACATAGTTTATTAAGTACAATACTATCACTGACCTCCAATGGCACCAAATGACAAATGGCATTCCAGACCATTTCTGTTTTGTGATCTCCTTGTGTGAAGAACTTCTGGGGTTGTGGAGCTGTTTGTATTTCTCCACTTTAACAATGAGTTTTAAGCTGTTCATCTTTGGGACAGTTCTTGAACTAAACCTTTCACTGAGAACAAACGGGATCTGAGCCGTGATTTGTTTACTTTGCCCTTGACCTCATCACTGATCATCCACTTCAGCCGCAGGGCTTCCAATGACAGCACAATAAAAACTACTGGCAATCATGCCGTCCTGCACCTCTGCAAGCATCCGATAGCTCTTCGGAGGGTAGAGGGCCATTGGGACAACATAGTAAAATGATATGAAATAAAAATAAAACATGGTCTTATATACTGATTTTTGTGTTTTTAAGCTCCCCTTAGTCTTGCTCTTTGCTGAACTGCTTTGCTGATGTGTGATGCACTACTGCCGTAGTCAATGCTTCAGCACATAACAGCAACGGCACATGGATGACAGATGGGCATACAAAACGTGTCAAAATGGGTGTAAGATTAGCCCTCAGAGCTATGATAGACTGAACAGCAACCAGAGCCCCTGTGCTGATACAGATATGCAGAATTCTCAGACTGTGAAAGTGATCAAACTATTCAGTGTTCAGTTTCACAGTGAACAAATGGGGCAAGACAATCCAGCAGACAGCAACCAGCACTGAGCACCAGCAAGCTGCAGCCGTGTCATCAGAAAATCCAACAATAGCAGTGGACACAGCACCCCACAGCACCAAGCCACACAGTGAATCATTTAATGCTGCATAAAAATGGTGGACTGAGCTGGTAACCAAGATGGCCATCTCAAAAGGCAAGGACTCTGCTCCTGTGGAGCAGAAGTGCTTCATTATTGCAGCCTTGCAGTACTCATTGTAACTATTGAGTGTTCAGGGCACAGCTTGCAAATTCACTTTCATTTAAAGGCAACTTCAAAACCTAGTCCTGCCTCAAAGTTTAGATTGATTTGCCACATTCGAGTAAAATGTAGTAAACTACTGTGAACTTTTACTAAAACATAAACAGGTATGGTAAAGCATGATACAAGTGCCTGGAAACTATAGGAAAGTAAACTAAATGCATGGTATCAGTGAACCAGAAATGTTTTGTAAATCTACCCGGTTAAAATTTGTGTACTTTTAATAATGAACTCCGCTACCTACTATATATCTGCATCAGAGATGAGCTGTCTGTGCTACAACATGTCCTGTGCATTAAAAAAATAATGACTGTCTAAATGGTAAGAAACATATAAGCACTGCTCTACTTGGCCCTCCTTACTACAAACACCTTCCAAATCAATTCTCATCTGGAGTAGATACTGTGGTGAGGAGGTGTTCTCTAGTGTTTTATAATGTATTTACCCATGTGCACAAACCACAGCCTACAAAAATCTGCCAGATACAGCAATAATGACACGGGTAAATCCCACCCCATTTGATATTTTTCACATATTTCTGAAAATGACTGCTGGGAGTCGGCGTGATTATTTAAAATAATAGGTCATACATTTAGACAAAAATGTTGTCTGTTTTTCCCCCATTTTGAGCTTCAGGTTTTAAAAAAATGTGAAACGGTGAAAACACAAACTCTTAGTGCTTAACTGAATATCTTTTATGTGTGTTCGGTTCCCAAGCTGTGCCTAAACCGCAAATGTTTAATTTAGTCACTGACAGTTCAAGTTCAAACCCACCCCTGGTCAAGGGCAGGGATATGGGGTTTAAAAGTAATGAGGCGGAGTTCACAGCTTTCATCGGGTGCACTGGAGGAGACTGACTTTATCTGCGGATGTCACACATACTTGCGTTCAGCACCGTGTTTATGTGAAGGTGCAGATAGAGCAGCAAAACTGTGGGTCACTGCAGCTATGTCAGCCACGCTGTTAATGCCTTACCTGACCCAGCATATGTGTCAAGTACTCCATCTCCTGTTGTTGTTGCAGTTTCACTGCTGTTCATTGGCTCTGTTTTGACTGCAAGAAGAGACACTATATAGAAGAACAGGCATACATAAAACTTATTTTTCTCTTCTCACAACCTCATTGGAAAAGGTTCTAACATGGCAAACGGAGACTAAACGGCAACTGATAGAGTGGCAGCAAAAATGAAATTCTGGGAGGAATTTAGAAGAAAAACATATACCGAACATCAGTAAAACAGTATGAAATATCAGTAAAAAAAATCTAAATGAGGGTTTTGACTACTTTATTAGAATAACCTGATTAAATGCAGTACTGCACAATATCCTACTGTTTCTTTGTGAATTCCATGAGAAGGTTTTCATGACAAGCATTAAGTTCTCTTGGGTTTTGTATAATTGCCTAGTAAAGTCATGATGAAATCAGTGTCTGATATTTGATAGATCTTCTGCTTAAATAATAAAATTAAATAGTATTTTCATTCTGTTTTTTCACAGGGAGAAAACAACTGTATCTGGTCTACAGTTTGGTAATGTGCCAACACTCCACAAATTAATCGAAAACCTACCCCTAAAACCTCAAGAAAGTAGTCCAAAAGCTTCCAGAGAGCAAGGTCACTGAATTGAACTTTTTATTAAAATAATTAAATAATAATTTTATTATTAAATAATGAAAACATTTGCAACTATATCCCTGAAGAGTTAGCTTGTCCTTCATTTACAGCAAACACATTTCTTTTCAAATGGCCAGATTCTTTGTTTCCTTAACTTTATCATATATTCATTTTGTATTTATTGTGTACAATTTAGTTAATTAGATTATAATTTAAAACTGATTTTTTTAGAAAGAAAAATCAATGCCAGTACAATACAGTATATCAAATGAATACAAAACATTTCTTTAAAATCATAAAAAAGCATTTGCTATCACGCTATCACACAGCAGGCAGATTTGACTGTAAATATTGTTCATGATCAAATAATAGGAAAGTCAGGCAATTATAATGTCAATGTGTACATTATATATTTTATTACAATAAACTGCCAACTGTCCTGTCAGATTTATTAAATTCAAATACTAGGATGTATATAAAACATTCTAGTAGGATACTAGATTTATAGGAAGAAAACATTCCTATAAAACTCCTTTTTTAAATAAATAATTGTCAATAACTGCTTAATGCCGAAAACATGATTATTTAAACAATGGAAAGAAATTGACTGGATATTTAAAAACCAAGATCATACACCTAGGTCATAAATCTTTACTACTGGTTACTTTTTTTTTCTTAAAAATATGTAATCAGATGAAAGAGAAAATGGAGAAGCAGATAAAAACTCCAAAGCAATATTCATACTTCATTTCACCATAACCTTTCCTCCACACCTCCCACAAAGTCATAACAAAGCACTGCAGTCTTTAGTCACACTGTCACACTCATGCACTGACTATACCATAGTCTTTCATACTTGAGGCAGAGGAAGGGGTGCTGCAACCCAGCAGCCAATCTGCTGTGTTAAGAATAGTCATGTTCTCGCCTGAAGGAGGAAGGACATTGTGATTTAATTTATGCATTAACATTACAAACTGCTCAATCAGTCTAGTAGCGGGAATCTGTTATCACTATTGTAAAACGTCATGGATGAGCCAGCACAAATATTGTTTTGAAAGGGAAAAAAGTATCTAATAGAATATTATTCAGTAATAGCAGAAAAATAAGTCTTTTGTGACAGAAGGTTGCAAGCAATTCTGATGCTTGTTCTCGACTTAAATACTTTGGTGAATACTAGTAAAATTACTGTTGTAAAAGCCTTTTCAAAAAAGAAAATCACTGCCAGAACAGCTTATTCAGAAGTTTGGCCAAACCTTAATTAATGTGAAGTAAAGGTGAAAAGTACTCAAAGTTTAAAAGGTTTTAAAGTTTAACTCTCCTAGCTGAGGGAACAGCAGCCTGCCCTTGGGGACGAGGCTGACATGACCCCCCCTCTCCTCACGAGGAATGAGCCAGGGAGCTGCTGAAGGGGTGAAGAAGGGGTGCGAGAAAGAACCACAAAGAGGTGCTCAGCAGGTGAGATATTTATGAAGTGTGGAAAAGTGGAAGTTTAGAATTTGACCTCTTTCTGAACATCTGTTCAAAAGCAACATTTAATTTAAATTAAAATGAAGAAAATCGGGCTGCACAAAATCATATTGCTTAGTTTTAAAAAACGTTTTTTGTCATTTTATGTGTGTGACTCATTACAGATAATTGGATAATGCCAATTGTTATATAAAATGTGGTTAAACATATACACCGCATAATGTGGTATAATATATAAAGTATTATTACAAATATTTAATGGAAAATATCAAGTCAAGCTACTGCGGTTCATGGATATACTGTGGCAACCATCCATCCAAATAATCTCCCATAACATCTTGTTAGATATATGTTTCTAAAGACTGCACTTCGCTGTAATATTTATAGTTATGGCTTAAGCCAGTAAAATACTCTTTAGGTTTTATCTTCCTGGAGCTGGTCCTGAAGGACATTAACATTAGTCAGCAGTAAATCAGTAGAACTGGTGGTAGTCCACATAAATCAGCAGGGGGTTTGTGCAACCCGCTGTTATGGAATATAGTAAAAAGAGATACATATATTTTTATTAACTGCTTTTCAATACAAGTTATAGATAAAAAATAGATAGTTAACTAGACAGATGACTGTCCAAACACATACAGTACATTGTAAACATAAAATTTTGAAAGAAGGATATTAAATATATTTGATAAAAAAATGATTTTTAAATTTAAAAACACATACTGTACCACTTTCAGAAGATGAAGAAATGGCAAACAGTGTATTATTAATCCATAAACTTTTCACCATCTGCATGTCACTCAGCAGCAGTTTTGCCTGTGAGCGTGGTCTGCCCTCACCCTTGAAGTGATTTTATTTCACTGGTTAAGAACGGCATGTGTACAGGTCAGGTAACATGGGAACTGTAGTCCCTCAAAACCTCAAAACAATGCAAGCAAATAAACCCACCTGATGTGACTTGCCTCATTGCTTTGACAAATAAATACTACAGGAGTACAGCAACAACTAAGCACAGCAGTAATACTAATGTCTTTGGTTCCAAATACAGAACTATAAAGGTGTAAAAAGTGTTGCTGAAGAGTTTCAATGCATGTTTTCCAATCAATTTTGCTTTAGTCTATTCTAATTGCAAAGTGAGATATTCTAATTTTCTTTTTACCAACGACAATGAATTTGATTACTTAGTGTACAGACTACTACTTGCAGATTCAAATTTTTTTGGAAGGGGGGTGAGATCAGGGGGCGGGATACGGTTTCACATATCAAACTGTGTGCATATGGTAAGAATGACAGAATTGTATTACTTTCAAGAAAAATACTGTCAATGTGCTTGCTAGATCATTTTTAAATTTATAATGCCGCTGTGCACAATCACAGCTCTAAATTACATCTACCAAACTATTCATCTATAAAATTACAAAACACTACTCCTAAACATTTACAGTAAGTTGTGTTGTGAGTTTTAAAATGAAAATACGGGTGTGGGTCAAAATGCAATCTTGCACATTTCTGCCAACTTTTTAAAAATGTTCTACTTTTCTTTCTTACTCACTTGCACATGCTTCATTTTACATCCCTCCCTCCACCTTATCTTCACTGCTGAAGCACCTCCCTTGCTCAAATCATTGAAACGGGAGGTCATTCTGACAGCCTTATGGACAGATTGTCAATTCCTCAGTCCGGTAAGTTAAACCAATAAAGCCAATAAAGCAAATTTAATCCATTTAGGCCTCTACTTATTTAGGATTTAAACTTAATTACTGAATGTATAAACTAGAGAAAATATTTATGCCTATTTTGTTTATTTTTATATTTATTTTACATACAGTATTTCTTAACTTGCCTTGCATACTTTTTAATTTTCTTGTTAATAGTGTTTTCTCTTTACATGAGGTACTACAGTACAGTATATTTTTCAAAAAGGATAAACAGATTTCCGTTGTTCGGTCAAATTCTAATAATAGATAATGACGAACACAACCTGACAGATATAAAGGGATAGCATGCTTAATACCATTTAACTCGCCTGGCTGAGGAAGTGACAGTGCTAGTCAGAGATCACCGCTGTCAAATGCCCCCACAAGAATCCCAAAACATAGATGCAGATTTCGAACACTAAGCTAAGAGCAAGTTGGTTTAGCTATACTTTTGCCAGAACCAAGAAGAAGGCGAGTGTAGCATGGAACAAATGAGAAGCGCGTATGATACAGACATATGCTTCATTGATCAACTAGATTCTGATATGTTATCCATGACAAGCGAGTATGATACAGTTGACAGCATGTCAGTCAGTGAACAGGTGGTAGTATTAGTGGGTAGCAGCCCTATCTGTACTGGCTTGAGTTTAGAACTCTGTAGTGAGAAGCAGAAAACACCGCAAAAACAAGAGGAAAGTTACTGCTAACTGAAGTTCGCTAGATAGAATGGATGAAAATGTCAGTTGAACCCCCAAAAGGTGTAGGAATATCAGCAAATATGTGGCTGGAAGCTTTGGGAGGGAGAAGAGCTGAAGAGCTGAGGGCTGACACTGACCACTTGGACGCCAACCAAAGGTTGGGGTAGTGTGTGTGGGGGAACCCAATGCTCTATCAGCCAAGGCTGCTGGCGCTAGGGATAATGTGAGGATGGATAAGGATACCCGGATGTGGTATAGTCTGATGCTCGCAACCGTGAGGTGGAGCGGGATTGAGTGACCGAGGGCTCCTCCGGGGACAGCAAACAGAAGGACTGCACAGATGTGAGACAAAAAAAACAAAATAGGCTAGGGCTGTAGGTGTGGTGGGCCAGATGCTCGACCATAAACCAGGGAAGTGGAAGTGCGAGATTAGAGTTAGACTTCCACCTGAACTTCTTTTCAATAACACAATTATAAAAGGAAATGCAAACTACTATGCAAGTACAGAATGTGCATAATTTTGAAATGTTGGTAAACCTTTTTTCTCTAATCTAGCATACCTTTAAACACCAAATTAAAATGTATTATCTCTTGATTACTGAACATTGACATAGAGCCCATATTTATACTTTATACAGCTTGAAAAATTGAAAAATAATAATAATTTCATGTTCAAGGTGCTTTATGCATGGTCATTTTTAATCTAAGAATTGTGAGACAAATGTAATTGCCTTAGGAATGTATGATTGAACAGCCATATATATGTCGGTGCAAGGTTAACATTCCAAACTTCGCATTTAGGAATGTAATTTTAAACTATAAGGGCAGAACAAAGGCTAGATACCTGCATTCAATTACTGATGATTACAGCCACTGAAGTAAAAAACAAAATATGCTTATGTGTTGTCAATAATTACATGGTTCCATCATAGGTCCCTAGTGTTGTGGATCGTGTGATTGATTGCACTGAGGATAGAAACACTTTAATCAAATTTTAAATCAAACCTAAGAGAAAATATACTGAACATGCATATACTGTACATTTGACTTATAATACTTTTAGCTTTGAAATATTACAGTAGTAGATAAACGGAAGTATGCTTATGAAGTCAACTGGGGTTTATTAAAGGAAAAATATTATTTTTACAATTTCTGTTCTAAATAAAAGAATGGATCCATCCATAAAAGGTTCACATTTATCCTGGAGTTTCAAGAACAACTTTTATTTTACTATTTAAAATTAAAAATACTACTGGTAGTTTCGTTACAGATTGTTGTAAAAACAGCCCTATAGTCCATGTACAACATAATGAGTCCGTGCCATGACGTTTGTATACTTGTCTTTGACTTGATGATGGACACACTAGGTATTGATCACTTATGAGTAGGTATCTGATTAGAATGCGCCATGTGACCATTGGGGTTGCCTTCTAAAAATGCTTTAGAAAGATTCAAACACTAGGCATCTTCACACAATGACAAGATGCAGAAGAGTTCAAAATACTATTTATTATATAAAACTATGTATTTTTCCATTTAAAAACTTAATGTAGTTTCATCTTTAATATGCCTTTTATTGTGCTATAAGGGGACATATTTTATGGAAGAACCTGTGGTGGAAATGACTGCTGTTGGTATTTCTGGTTTGGTCAAACTAGCTCCGAACAGCTGGGTGCTGTACATTTGTCCATTCATCCTGGAAAAACTGCTACAATTCATTGAAGGGTCAATGATGGATTTCAATCTTCAAACCTTGCCAGAGAGTATCTATTGGATTTATGATAGGATTGGGTCACTCAAGGACATTCAGTCTCTTCTTGTGCTTCAGGTCACTGTCCTGTTGAAGTGTCTATTTCAAAACCAGCTCTCTGGACTGGGATCTTCTGATCTTGGTAGGATCTGAGTGGTACAAAGTACATTCCACTACTTAACTCAGAGGAGTACTGTATGTAGCCTTTTGTGATTTGTGCCTCTTCAAAATTTCATCTCAGATTTGGTTAGAAAACTTCATGGTCATGGTCTTCACGGTTGATTTGATTAACTGTATAGCTGTGGGAGCAGTGGTTTGAAATTCAATGTCGATCTGTAAGAACTTACAGACACAGATGCATTTACTTTGAAGTCAAGTGAGACCACTTTGATTACCCTCAGAGATCAGAGGTGTTGAATACTTACTCAACTGAGAATCTTCTAAATTTTTTTGAAAACAATTTAAATCTGAGTTTATACAGTATCAGCATTTTGAGTGTAATCAGTTTCAAGTGACTGTGTAGATTCTATATACAGTATAAAGTTCTGTTTGAACTTGAAATGATCATAAGCTCAAAGTGCACCAACATATGGACATTTTGCAGCAAAGTAAATAGTTTTGCAAGGCACTGTATACCACCTAAAACAGAAAGGAAAATGTAATTCTCTTAACAAAGAAAATGGAGCAACAGTTATCTTACAGTAAACTGTCAGTAAATACGTGTTTTTGTGTCCATTGTAATGGTGAAACCACAAAACACAGACAGTCTGGTCCCTTTAAGATCAAGTACACAGTAACCTCCATGAAACTCCTTCAATATTCTACCATTAAGCAAATATGAATAGCTTTGTGATTTGAAGAGTATCTCTTTTATGAATTGCAAAAAACCCTCTTGAAATAATATGATACCTTAGGTACAGGGAAGAGTATTGAAACAGCATGACGCATTTATCAAGAAAAGAAATGCTCAAAGTGTGCTTGGCATTATAAATTATAACTAAATATTAAATAAAAAGTTTTTGTGATTTAATTGGTGTATATGTTGCTATATGTTATTTCTAACTTTGACTGCTCGTAACAACTACACAATCAGTAAACGAGTGTTTGATTTGTTCAGAAAAGCAATGTAACATTCAGCCTTATCACACACAGCATGATGTCTGAGACTATAGTGAATTGGGAAAAATTAACAACAGACTATAGCTGGTGCTAAAAAAACAGACATAGAATTCAGAGAAAATGTCAGAATATTTCACCTTGCAATTAGTACATTCTATTCTAATCCCATTGCCCATCAAATTTAAACATTTGAAGGGGCAGTTAATTGAAAAATATGCAAACCAACTCTGAAGCAATGCAGTAACTTTTCATAGGATTGCATTTAGAACTGAAACATCAGTGCTACTGCTGTGCTTAGCTGTTGTATTTATTTGACAAAGACATGAAAAAAGCCACACCAATTGGGTTTATTTGCTTGTATTGTTTGAGGGTTCTGAGGGACTAAAGTTCCTGTGTTACCCAACTCATGCATTACCCAGGGAAATCAAAACCACTGCTGAGTGACATACAGATGGTGAAAGGTTTATGAATTAATAATACAATTGTTGCCATGTATTAATCTTCTGAAAGTGATATTGTTTTTAAGTTAAAAATTTAAAAATCCAAATTTGATTAAATGCTCAGAATCACTTCTCAGCTTTGTAGATCAATCTTGTGTTTAAATTATATTATGCTTGGCATGTACTTACAGTATGTATAAAACTGGACAATATCTAATTTTGTTCCACTTTTCTCTCTATAGACTAAAGCCTTAACTACAGAATAACAGATAGACAGAATAATAAATGTAGCAAGATATAATATTTCATGGAATAAGAAGTACTGCTAAAAAAGCACAGAAAAAAGTAACAATCCAAAAACCAAAATGTTAAATTGATTGGCAAAGCTATAAAATCAAAAATGTTGACTTGGAAATACATTTGATGATCTTTTAGTAAAAGAATTCTGAATACGTAGTTGTCTTGGCACTGTCACTGTATGCCTTCAAACAAAGCTCTGTTAAAATAATTTTCTCTTCTCTAATGTACAGTTCTTTAATGTGTATTGTGGTTGTTAGGCATTGTCTCCTATTATAAATGCTGTTTGCATTAGAAACACAGTTACATCATTAAGATATTTACAAATAAAAAAAAATCCTAAGCATAGTCACCTGCCAATAATAATAAGATGAAACTATACTGTTGCATGGCAATCGTACTAATATTGATATTAATATAACTAATTTATTTTATTTAAATAATAAATCAAATTGCCTAAGTTAATCATATATAGCCCTACAATACACATGCACATGAAATAAATTTACAAAGTGAACTAAAATATTTTTGTCATCCTGAAAATCTTACTGTACAGTATTTCTATAAAATAAAAAAAAAACTAAAATGGTTTAACTTAAGAATAATAATTTCATTTTTTGTGTCAGCACAAAAAGTATAAAAGGAAAGAGCACTTTGGTGTTGACATATTACAGACGTTTGATGCTTTAATATAGTTTTTGATGGAAATAGTTTCCAGTTAAATCTGGGCATAGAATCAAAATCTGACAAAGGCTGCCGAGTGGTTTTAAGAAAATCTAAGGGCTGCATGCACTGTTTATATAAATTTTCAAACATTTTACTCCAAGTGTTGTTTTTTTCCTACGAAAATGAGGCCATAATATAGTGCCAGTGCTTCTTCAAAGACTTGGGTGCTAGACGTCCAATACACAAGTCTGATGGTCTATTAGGACCCAACCCAGAGCAATTCCCATTGTGATCTTGTAAGATTTATATTTCTATGGTGTATCACTGCCAGGCAAATGGAAAGCAGTTGGAAACGAGAAAAGCTTTTATCTAATGAAAAACATGGTAAGTGGACACAGAATGATGAATTACTGAAAGATGCAAAGTAATTAAAAATCGTTTACACAAAGACTAAGATAATTACGCACATATAAAAAACAACAATGACTTTCTTACCTCCCGTTCCATTGGATGTAACTGAAGAATTACTGAGGTTCGACTTGTCCAGTTTGGAGCCAGGAGTGTCACTGCTGCCTACTCGATTATGAGGACTGGCTAAGTCCTGCATTTCCATAGACCTGAAAGACAAAACCTAGGTCAACCTTCAACAACCTAGCATTCTATACACATATACTTTTAAGATAAAGTTTTAAGGCATAGCACATGCATGATTACTGTAGACTTGCCATAAAGCAAGAGCAGCTACAGTATCTGCTCACTTGCATTTTCCAGGCTTCACAAACTCTGTTTCAATAAGAGCTTTGAGCTGCTTTCTATAAATGAAATCCCCTATCCACTAAAACACTATTTCCAGCAAACCTACTGTATATAAATTCATAAAGATTACAGTTTCATTTTTGCTGTGTTTACACTACAATAGTGTCAAGAAAATGTAAATTTCCAATTTAAATTATGCATAAAGTAAATTAATACACTACTGTACATTTGTTGCAAATATTTTAAAACACATTTTATAAATTCATTATCAATATGTGATCATGTCTATAAAAACTAAGGCTGCTTTCCTGCGCAGTTAAATGACACAGTGGTTGGGATTGCTGTTGTTTCCTCTCACAGTCTAAAGATATACTGGTACATTAATTGGCTCAGAGAAAACTGGCCCTGGCGTCTATGTCTCTGTGTGCCCTGTGATGGACTGGCTTCCTTGCAAGGGTGTATCCTGCCTTGCACCTGCTGCTTGCTGGGATAGGCTCCAGCTCCTAACCCTGAACTGGATGGAGGGGTTAGAAAATGGATGGATGGAAGAGCTGCTTTCTTTTGTTTGTCTATAGTTCAAGTCTGACCAATGATACTTGTGTAACTCTCAGACATATCACTCTAATGTGTATTTAAATACAATTGTTCCCAGAATTGTTTAATTAAAAAATATGTTTAAATCTGAGAATAAAAAAAATGGAAATTTACAAAGACATAGACAAGGTCACGGTGAAGCCAGCTTCTCAAATCAATAGGATAATTTAGGTTACAGAATGTCTAATAAAATCAAGACGAAAACTTATTAACCTCTTGTTCAATATGTGAGGGAACAGCAGCTGATCACAGAAATGTAGACATTTAGGATTAATGGAACATATGTTTTTCATTCAATGCTATTTTTCCAAAAAAATCAAAACAATCTTATATTATTTTTTTAACCGTGTGATGAAAACTTTGTACATTATAAAAATGTGGATACATTTTCTGTTTATCAATAACAAAATGTGAGTCGCACACATGAATCAAGCTACAATCACATGTTGATACATTTGAGAACTATGCATATTAATGTTGCAGCAATACAGTATAACATGTTGGTGTAATACAGCCACTTTCCATTCTTTTTTGACAATGAAAAAAGTTTAACTTCATGAAGATCTCAACTTGTGGAGAATGTTTCCAGAGACCTTGCTTATCAACTTTAATTTTTTGAAAAATGAAGCAGAAGGTTGGAGTACAAATAATTTATAAACACGCAAATGAACTACAACCACCGTACGAGAGTGTCAGATGGTAACAGTTCTTATCAGTGTGAGGTAACTTAATCTGTTCTGTCTAGACAACGAGACAATGCTCTTTGTGTTGCAAAGCCTTTTTTTCTGGTTCTTATTCCATTATTACATTTACAGAAAAAGAAGTAGAGGTCACACTTCGAAGCTTCTAGATGGCTCTTCTGATGCGACGTGCTTGAATGGCAGTCTTACTGGTAAAGGGGTTGACAGATCAAACAAAACTTAAAGCAAAGGCCTGTAGATCACAGCTGTGTCAGATGTCAGTTTAAACCAGGTAGATATAAAGACCGTTGATTATGAATTAACAAACTGATAGCATCTTGACCGCTGACTTCAGTTCACATGCTGGTAGAAAAGGCAAGTATAAGTAAAAGTATTGGAGAGTAAAAAGTTAAAACAGTTTGAAAGGTAACAGGAGTCCCTTAAATCTTTCTAAATTCTGTTCCAAGGAACAGTATAAGTGCATGGCGGTGACAATAATAAAGTAGAAAATAAAATAAGAGGTGTACAATCTAAACAAAATTTTAATTCCTTCAGAAATTGTACTTCCCATTTTTAATGAATGTGCAAGAATATTAAATGAGGGATGTAAACCGATACAAAGGTCTGAAGAACACAGACTATTAATATTTTTGAGAAAACATTTTTATGAGAAACTAATACATGTTTATTATGATTATAAAATATTGATTATATAAGCTATTTCACAAAGTTCAGCATGTCTAAATTAATTGTATTATTAATATCTGACATTGTCACAAATTAAAAAAATGAAGAAGTATGTTCACTGGCTGGACCACAATGTTTATTACAATTTTACAGTAGTATGCAAAATATTTTGGCAAATGAAAGCTATGTATTCCCCAGAAAGGATTTCAGCAATATCTAGCTTCCACACCAGGAAATGAAACAGGTTCATCTCCAAGGTTCCTTTTTTCAATTTCAATTGTATTTTTCCCAAAGAATTACAGGTGATAAATATAAAAAAACTCTACTTGTTTAAGTTTAACATGTTTACTTACTGGAAAATTATCCCTTAAATTTTATTTCTACCAAATTATCAGGATTATAATGATATCAGGATGTCATTTAAGTGAAAATTAGGTAATTATTGGCTGTTGATGTACAATGTATTGGGTGAGAAGACAGTAAGAATTTGCACTAAAAAATTTTTTGTATATTCATAATCTGGTATTCCAGATTGGTATAATCTGGTATTCCAATCACACCTTGGTTTACATTCAGTTCACGTTCTATGGATTTGAACATAACTACTGATTTTTAGATTGGCGTATATAAGGATCTTTTAAAGCTGGAATCATGATTTTTGTAAGTTTTTGTTTTTCAATTGATTTGCTTGAAAAATAAGATAAATCTGAAAATATAAAATACAGAATGGAATCTTCCTTTATGATTTATGATTTTTCTTCCAAATGCAGACATTTTGGATGTTATGCTTGTTGAATAACTTGATCATGACTGAGGCACTAACTCTACAGTATAATCCTTGTAAAGAATGAAAACCTGAATCTGACAGAACAAAATGGTAGAGGGAACCCAGCGATACTGGAATAGCATTTAATAATCTTATAACTAATAATAATTACTAATACTTATATAGCACTTTTCTGGACACTCCATTCAAAGCACTTTACAGGTAATGGGTGTAGCCCCACCTGGATGATGCGAGGAGAACAGAGTAATGAAGCCAATTCACAGATGGGGATTATAAGGAGGCAATGAGTAGTAAGGGCCAATGGGAAATTTGGCCAAAACACCAGGGTTACACCCATACTCTTTTCAAGAAACGCCCTGTGATTTTTAATGACCATGGAGAGTCAGGACCTCAAATTTATGTCTCATCCAAAGGACAACACCTTTTTACAGTATACAGTCACTACACTGGAGCATTAGGACCCACACAGACCACAGGGTGAGCACCCCCTGTTGGACTCATAAGACCTCTTCCAGCAGCAACCTTAGTTTTTCCCAGGAGGTCTCCTATCCAGGTACTGACCAGGCTCACAGCTGCTTAGCTTCAGTGGGTTGCTAGTTGTGAGTTGCAGGGTGATATGGCTGCTTTCATATGACTTACGAAAGTCATCAGAAATGTCATTAGAAATAAAAATCTACTTTTGTTCACGACTGCCAGATTTAGCATTGACATATAGTAAATAAGACTCCAGCTAGCATTGATGGAAAACAGATACATTTATCTATACAATTCTGTAGCATGTTATATACTTATATTCAATATCTTATCACCCTCATTAAATATGTAAATCTGTAAAAATATGCAAGGCAGTAAAACAGCCTTGTATTTCAATAATTCTCTAGTTCAGTTTTCTGAACAGATTAAAAAATAATAAATTTGGCTTTGATTGTATTCTGTTATGTTTTATTTTTAGATTAACAATCTGTTACAGCAGTCTGTCATGGCTAGTATATATTAAAACTTAGTGTAACTTGCTTCTTTCTTTATTAGGAAATTGTGTGCGTGCGCAGGGAGTATTTAATATTCCATATGATAGAGGTTAGTTATCTCTGCCTCAACAAACTTACCCGTCACATTTACAACCAAAATTTTTCCCTAAAGAGGAAAGAGGGTGAAGCAAGACAAAGAATTTGCCGATACATAAATGGCACTCCAAGAATTCTCCTGACAAAGTTCCCACTGTACAAAACTCATTCCATCCACATTTATTATAATGCACTGGAATCCAAAAGCAACACATGAGAACCTACTGAATAAACAAAGGATATTAAACAAAAAACTCAAGCCAGAGGAGACACTTACTTAATCGCAAAAATGCTTAAAAATGCTTCAGCACCCAGTTTCAGTCAACTGTTAGGCTCCCATTTTCTGCATAGTACTACAATTTAGAAATTAAACGTTTTCCGAAATAAGAATGTGGTTATAATGGGCATAAAGGTACATGCCCAATGGATGCACATTGTCTTAGACATTATTAATTGAAATGGGGGATTTCTTATTAAAATGTCAATGGTTTACAAAACCACCATAGAAATATTCTCCTTTTTAGCATATTTGAGAGTAAGTTGATAAACAGAAGGGGCTAAATATATATATATAAACAATTTCTCCAATAAAGGTTCTTAAGCCAAATTGCAAAGTAAAACAATAACAAAAACTGGAGTCTAAATACAGGTTGGAAGCCACATACAGACATCTCGGGAGGCTATAATTACTTTCATAGCTGTTATTGCTGGAATTCGGCCAATAAGCAGCAACTAAAATAATAAATGAAAATTATGAATTTCCTCTTTTTGCTAGGGGTTTCACAACAGAATGCCCCTTCATTTATTCTGTTTGCATGCCAATGTAGTATGACAATATTAGTTACCTGGTATTGGAAGGCTCTGAAACATGTGATTCGTTGTGCGTTTTCTTTACCTGTGATGGGGGAAAAAAACAACAAAAGAAAACAAAAAATATTGAAAATGACTTCTTCTAGCCGAGTCCAGACACACCACTCGTGCAGTCCTTCATATGTATCCAGTTCAACATGCCATGATCTTTATAAAACACTTCCCAATACTTTGCAGTAGCAGTGTGAACTCACTGAACAGTACCTTCCATTATTGCCTCCATGAACAGCAGCCAAATGCACTTCCACAGACCCATTAGCATGTAAAATACTCTGGCTCTATCAGCATGGGAAAAAGAACAAAGACACCAAAGAGCTGGGCCCTACAAGCTGCTGTTCTCCATTCAAAAAAGTGCATTTATGAACCCAAATTTCTACAGCCTCCATTTCCTCCTTTAAGTCTGTGAAATAAGGGGGCTTTGGGACGTGGTACCAGCTCTTTCTAAGCTGAAAACATTAAAGAAAGCTTGTAAATGACCTGAAATATGTCTTGTGATAAAAAGCAATTTCCCAAGAAAATCATTTGTCACATGATGCTACTGCACCTCAGAGACCAAAAACACAAAAGGGATAGCAGTTCACATAATTAACAACCTTGTCTCTTTGTACTCATTAACATGATTAAATGTTAAGTATCTACTTTTACTGCTTTTTAATAAACAAATATCAATACTGCTGCTACACAACCCACCTACAGTACAAGGTCATGTTTTGAATCTGTACTGAGACAATGTTAGGATTGAAAACAAAATTAAACCAAGTCTAGGTTTAATTAATTAATCTTCGCTTCAACCAAGATTACAGGGTTATAAAGAGACTGAGCACTGATGAAACTCAAAGTAATGCAGACTAACAAGTCCTCTCAACAATTATGGTGTTTAAGAAATACCGTACATGTTCTTATGATCTGTGGCATTTGGAAGTATTCACTACACTGTTTATTCTGTCTGAACTATGTTTTAATCTAATTTTGCTTGAGTCAAATTACAAGGCCATAATAAATGTGGGAATGATAAGAAATAATACTCTATACCGCGTTCTGACACCGGTTCATCTCTTTTCATAGTATTGCTCACCTTACTCAAACTAAGGTTTTCGTTTTGCTCTTCACTCGTTTCCTGGCATTTAGAGGGATTGAAAACTAGCAAGGAAATAAGATGCAAATCACATGCCATCTTCAACTTTTTTCCAAATTGTCTCTCCTGACCTCTGGCAGCACAACTGAGCCCTTCTTGTTTTAAGGGATCCTCGGTCAAGTCTTTGCTTGAACAGCTATAGGATCATCAGGCCCCATACTGCATATGCAAGGTAAAAATTAAGAAAAGTAAAGTAAAATAGCCTTCAACACCACCTACAAACAGTAATATTATTCTGGCATTTTGCAGAGTTTAAGTGTGATTTTGGATACAGTTAAAGTTACTTGTACTTTAGTTTACCAGACCTCTTAAAAAAAATAAATACGTCTTCTCTGTCCACCAATATGCAGAGGTATGCTTGTGCAGTTTCAGACAACTAAATGTCTGGATATGCTTTCCACAGATGGGCATAATGTGACTAAAAGTCCACTTCCAAGCGGATGTGAAGTGATACTACTTTCTTTAAGCTTCTGTCATCATCTTGATTAACGTACTTTAACTGTGGCAGTTTTAAGGTCCTCGTCTGTTGGCATTATTACAGAGGGCCCTCCATCAAGGAATACCCTACAGAAACCACATTACATCACTGCTTAATAAAAACAAAACAAAAAACATCTCATAGTCTTTCCATCACACCAGCAGTGACAGGCAGGGGTTCACTCCTGCTTTGTAGGGAGTTTGTTACAGCTGGGTTTTAAATTCACATCAGCTGTTTCAAAGTGCCTCCTTTTGATGATTACAAGTTTTACTGATTTCAGCCTTTGGATGGAATACGACCGATATCTACAATCCAAAGTCCTTTCCTTATTTGTGTGTATAATTATTAAAATCTTCATATGACTATTTGGGGAGGGGGGGGGTAGATGTTTAACTTTTTGCTTCTAATTTAAAACACATTTTTAGTGTTATGCATGTACTGTACTGTATGCTGTACAAGCAAACCTCAGCAGAGCAAGGCTACAAAGCGCCCCTAGTGATAACTTCCTATTCTTATGGTGAGGCCATCATTTTCAGTGCCAGAAACAGTTCAGAGGGATCACTGCTACAGGAGGTCTAATTTTCTATACTGATTGGTGCACACATAGTTGTATTCTTTCCATCGCCTAAAGCTTGAAAATCAGAGTTGGTTATTTCAAAAACAATCGAAACACTTGTTTTCTGTGCCAAATTTGAAGAAAGCAGAAGAAATATGTGCGCTCACATTATATATAACCCATTTTAAAACCACAGAAGACTGAAAAACCACAGGAAAATTTATAGAGAGAGGCAGAAAAGATTTCATTTTCATAAGTTTTGAACTAAAAGTGTGCGATACAAAAAATGCATTTTCCAGCAGTTCGAATTTACTGTACATATTACAAGATAACTCCAGCAAATTCAAATGTGAAAATAAATGCATCTTCCTGTGAGACCTGTATTAACACTGTTACTGTTGTATGAAATCCATTAAATACTGTAAAATCATTTACACAACCAACCTCTTATTTCCCACCACTGCTGCAAAGGCTCACATGGAAGGGTTAAGAATAATTAATCACAGTGTAGCAGAAGATATTTTTATTCTACAAGAACAATTAACTGCTGTCTACCTGCAGAATAAAAAACAACATCAAATACAGTAGTTAATCTCTGCCAATTGCCTTACTTGGCAATTTCTCAGCAGTGGATGCAGTATCCCAGCTAGGCAAAACAAACCCAACCAATTTTGCCACATCTACCAGTGGAACCATGAAGGGCACTGTGGTGATCCTTGTGGGTTCCCACACAGGATTGGTAGCCTTGCACAGCCAGGTCAAAAACCACTGAGCTTGTGAGGGCCTAGATCAGCTTACAGCCAGGTTAAGTGCACTCACTGAGCTGAGACAATGAGAACCTATATCATCGACATTTCATTCTGGTTCTTTCAGTGTTGCTGCATCAATACACAGCCTTTTTTCATGTGGTTACAGTACCAGAAAAATACCTGGCATTCTCTTATACAAAATGAAGAAAAGCATTAAGAAAGAAAAACTGAAGCTCCCAGAAAGCCTTGTAAAATCCTCTTAGGCACATAGTATCCCTCTGCAGCAGACTTATACACTACTGCACATCAAATATTATTTTTCTCATCCCAAAAATCCAAGATTAGCTTGTTAATCTACCAAACTCAAATAAGAAAACAAAATGATTCACTCAGTTTCACCTTATGTTTGACTCGATTGTTGTGTTGTGTTGTGTCTTCTGCACTGGTTGCAAAAAAACATTGTGTCTGGTGTATCATGTTTGTTTGTTTGTTTGTTTTCCCCCCATGAAAAGTATATTAAAATAGTGAATCATAAAGATCATTTAAACCTTTTGGCCATGCCTGTATCAAAACTGCTCCTGCACATGGCCCTTAAAGAACTTTACCCCCCACACAAACTGTACATCTGTCCCGTGTTCTTGCTCTGCGCCAGGCAACGGCTTTCAGGCAGAGCATTTGATTAACCATATGCTGAGGGGTGACAGCAGGTACTTATTAAAATTCCTGCTCTATTTTTGAGCACCTAATTATAACAGTAAATCTTCAACAGGTTTGAAAATTTACGCAGCTGGTGTGTAATAGCTACGCAAACAAACCCTTTTCGCGTTGAACACGTGTACTGCATTTTCAATCAACATACGATTAAACCACCACATTCCAATATGGTACAGCGGTCTTTATTTACTTGAGAAATTAGAAAAGCAGCTTATGTTTTCTCCAAAATAAAGAATACAATCACAGCCCACTCTGAAAGGCAGTAAAAATACCTGGCGAAATAGTCTTTTAACATCAATGATTTTTACATGTTAAACTATTTTTGATGTTGGAAAAAAATCTCTCTGAATATAACAATAGTTGAATCATAGGGTGTTTTCTAATTAAATATATAGTGTGCTCTTGGTAGTGTGTAAATTCAGGCAGAGTGATCTGCAAATTGTTTCCAGCAGGATTACCTCTGAAATTTTGAGTCTGGCAGAGGCATAATGGTGTACGGTTGGTGTCTTTTGTATCTTTGGGGTTTCAAATTCACATGATGAAAACAGCAGTCATTGTTAGAACAATTCAGTGAAACTTTACAGCTCAGTTTATGAGTTCCAGAATGTTTCTTAGCGGCGTCTTTGCTGTAAATACAAATCTTAAACACGCTCTTCAAAATAATCCTTGTGTGCATGGCTTTAACCAGCCAGCATCTACACAGAAAGCTTCAAAAATGTGCAGTGCAATATGGAGTTTAAAGAGGGATGGCTGGTTTGAAAGTGATTTTTCGCCTCTTTGTGCAGTTGTGTTTTTGATTACAATCGCCCTACTGGGACCACATCAGAAGCAGTACTTAACTGTTAAAGTGTCAGGGCGTGGGTCACATGATGCCCCGCTAAAGCTCAAATTACAAACAGTACTTTTATGTAGGTGTTTCATGCTTTTTTGAAATTTTACAAGCTTGTCACTTATATCATTATCAGTGCAGGCTTTAGAATCCCTCACAAGTCTGTCTCAACAAGATACAGCCGTACGAATTGTCAAACACATCTCTTTGATCTTGTTTAACTCTTTCCCTCGTGCGCAGACCCTGTTCGCTCTCTCAGTCTCAGAACGAAATCAGCGAAACCCCTACAACTTCTGTTATAGTCTGGAGGAAAAGAAAACATACAAGGCTGTCACAGCAAGGGTATATTTCTGAAATCTTTGTCAGGACATGTTAAAAGCAAAATAAATTTGATAAGATTAAATCTCACAATTTCAAAACCATTTAAACTGCACTGCCAGTGAACGTCTATGACCTGCCACTTGCAATATTTTCATCGCTAAATCTTTGCTGCTGCCTAAATTCAACAAGTCGTAATAAGAAAGAGCTCTTAAACTTTAAGTAAACAATAAAAAACGATGCCTA